GTCCATATGAGAATGATATTTAGATACTGTATGTATCTACGGAGTTTCAACTAAGAATAAGTAAGATTAATTTGTGTCTCCTTTATTAGTATTCAACAGTCACTCACAGTTTTAGTTCCACGTGTCTGGCCTTTTTTGCATCACACTATATCATCAGTTCGAAGAGCAGCATTGGAAACTCTGTTTACGTTATTATCAACACAGGACCAGGTAAGAACTAATAACTATGTACAGCGATCTGAAACTTACATAATTAATTTTATAAAAAAGCCTGACCATTAGCTTACTCTTTCTGCATATTTCATGATCAGGAGAATTCTGGGCTCGTAGAAGTGGTATGAGACACATATAATCTCATGAGGACAGAAATATTTATTCTAGGTTGTATTCTTAGCACTTGGAATTTTGTTAATACATAGGAGGTCTTCAGTAAATATTTGTTGAATGAATGATTGCTTAGTCCCTTCCTGTTGAAACCTGTATTAACTGCTTGATTTTCTATCGTATTTAATCTTGCTGCTCTTTTTCTGTGTGATTGACCATTGTGGGTGTGCAAACTCGTCCCAGGTTAGAAGGCTGCATTTGAAGCTCTGAAATATAACTCTTAAAGACTGACCATAGAATTCCTAGGCTCTGTCTCCTTTAAAGATTACTAATCTTAAGAATATGCTATTTCAAGGATGTATATTTCAGGATCATGTATTTTAATGCCTGTAGAGATCATTCAGGTAATATCAGTGTGAATGGAGCCTGTAGTGAGCTAAGGGATCCTTGCCCTGTTTTTTATAGGAAGCTTCACAATTCGTGTTTTTTATAAATAACCGTGTAGGTCAAACAAAATATTTAGAATTTAGGAAACTATCAGTAAGAATTCCATTCTTCTATCATGATATCATGCTAGGTACTATAGTTTGGACCAATCATCTTTAAAAAGCAGTGGTTAATTTTTCTAAATAGTAGATTATTGCATGAATAAATGCCTCTTTTATGTTTACTAACTGTGCATTTCCACGTGAATTAGGAATATTCCATGTAGACTTGCTTTAATCTTGCAGCATGGTATTGTTATGGAACTTTTGTGAATAAACATCTGTAAATTTTGTTTTGCATTATCCCTTCGGTTTTGTCTAATCAGAATCTTCTCTGGAACAACTGTCAGGTCTGTTTTATCATTCTCAGTAGATCAGGCATGGACTGATGTGACAACTGCATGGTTTTCTTAATTTTCATTTCATCTTTGTTTAATTTTGTGATTTTTGCCTAAATGTTTTTGATATTATTAAATTCACTTTATATAGATTCCCTTAAAGTTATCATATTCTTCCTTTCACATGATTCTTTTTTATACGTAGACTTTATTTTTAAGAACAGTTTTAGGTTTACAGAAAAGTTGCGGGAAAAGTACAGTTCCTATATACCCTTTTATATCCCTCCCACCACCATACATAGTTTTCTTTATTGTTAACATTTACATTAGTGTGGCACATTTTTACAGTTGAACCAATACTGTATGTTTTTTTTTTTTTTTTTTTTTTTTTGAGACAGAGTCTCACTTTGTTGTCCAGGCTAGAGTGAGTGCCGTGGCCTCAGCCTAGCTCACAGCAACCTCAAACTCCTGGGCTCGAGGATCCTTCTGCCTCAGCCTCCCGAGTAGCTGGGACTACAGGCATGAGCCACCATGCCCGGCTAATTATTTTTTTATATATATATCAGTTGGCCAATTAATTTCTTTCTATTTATAGTAGAGACGGGGTCTTGCTCTTGCTCAGGCTGGTTTTGAACTCCTGACCTTGAGCAATGCCGCCGCCTCGGCCTCCCAAGAGCTAGGATTTACAGGCGGTGAGCCACCGCGCCCGGCCGTGGTATGTTATTTTTAACTAAAGTTTCTACTTTACATTAGGGTTTACTCTTTGTGTTTTAGAATCGATGGCTTTTTGACAAATGTACAATAATGATTATGTACCACAATTACAGTATCATACAGAATAGTTTCATTACTTTGAAAATCCTTTCTTTCCCTCTCCCTGAACTGTTGGCAACCACTGATCTTTTTATTCTCTGTTTATTTTTACCTTTTCATGCAATGTCATGAGTGGATCATAATATGTAGCCATTCAGATGGCTTCTTTCACTTAGCAATATGAAATTAAGTTTTTGCTATGTCTTTTTATGGCTTGATCACTCATTTGTTTTTATCACTGAAGAATATTCCATCATATGATAAACCACAGTTCATTTATCTATTCACCTATCGAAGGACATCTTGATTGCTTCCAAGTTTTGACAATTTAAATAAAGCTGCTATATACATCTGTGTACAGGTTTTTGTGTGGACCTAATTTAACCTCCTTTGGGTAATTACCAAGGAGCATGATTGCTGGATTATTATATTGTAAAGGAATTTTAATTTTGTAAGAAACTTCCAGACCATCTTCCAAAGTATCTATACCATTTGCATCAGTGAGCGAGAGTTCCTGTTCTCTACATTCTAGCCAGCATTTGATGTTGTCAGTGTTCTGGATTTGCCATTTAATAGCTTAATAGCTTATTTCCTGGCAACATATTATGAGAGCCATCTTTTCATATGCTTATTTGCTCATGACTTTATTTTTTATGAGCAATTTAGGTTCATGCAAAATTGAAGGGAAAGTACAGTTCCATATACCTACACCCTTATCTCTACACCAGCTCCACACCATCAACATCCATACCAGAGTTGGCATATTTGTTACAGTCAGTGAGCCTACATTGACAAATGATATCCACCAGAGTTATAGTTTACATTATGGTTCCCTCTTGGTGTTGTACAATTCTGTTGGCAGCCCAGGAGTTTGAGGTTGCTGTGAGCTAGGCTGACGCGACGGCACTCACTCTAGCCTGGACAACAAAGCGAGACTCTGTCTCAAAAAAAAAAAAAAAAAAGTAGATGTCTTGCTCAAGGTCACAAAACTAGTTAGGGTTAGTACCAGAACTAGAAACTAGATGTCATGTCAGCCCAGGGTTTATTGTAATTTCATACTTCATCTAGGATGAAAATACCTGCATATGTGCATAATCTCCCTCTTAGGAGCATTAATATTCTCTTATGATATGTTGTTTTTTTTGTTCTGGCTAGGAATTTGGTTGCTACATTGGCCCACAATATTTCATTCATTAATAATGTCTGAAGTCTTTTACTAAACTAAAGGTGCTACATATAATCTATGTATACGCATAACGCTTTTGTGGAAAAATTGATTCAGAATTCCAGTGAGATGCCATCGAAACCTCTCTTTTCCCTTTCTCCCTATTTCCTCATCATAGATCTGGTGATAGAATTGGGGACTTCCATAAACAGTTGCCTTGACCCTGAGAATAATGATGCCAGCAGAGTATGAGTGTGGAGGGGAAAGAAGAGATGTAGAAGGGGAGATTATGAATGAGGAGCTAGAGAGAGACCAAAACCCAACCTTATGTTACCTTTCCTTTTCCTCTTCCTTTTCTTTTCTTTTCACAGAGTCTCACTCTGTTGCCCTGAGTAGAGTGCAGTAGTATCATCATAACTCACAGTAACCTCAAACTCTTGGGCTCAAGCGATCCTCCTGCTTCAGCCTCCTGAGTAGCTGGGACTATAGGCACATGAGATGACTCTTGGCTAATTTTTCTATGTTTAGTAGAGACAGGATCTCACTCTTACTCAGGCTGGTCTCAAACTCTTGAGCTCAAGCAATCCTCTTATCTTGGCCTCCCAAAGTGCCAGGATTACAGGCATGAGTTACCATGCCTGGCCCTGAACCTTTTCTTACAGTTTAATTTCCCTGGATGTTTTCCAGACTGGACCCTGGAACAGCACTGTGAGGACCTTATTTCACTATCCATTATGACTACTTAATGCTTTGTCTTTGAATGCTTTCTGTCTTTTCCCTTGCTTACTTTCTATTGTAGCTCACTGCAACCTCAAACTCCGGGGTTCAAGCAATCCTCCTACATAACAGATTAGAATCTCCCTTTCTGTCCCTAAAGGCAAGCTTACAGGCCTTTTGAAGTTTTCTAAGGTGTCATTGTGGTGGTTGTTTTTTTTTAAACTGCCAGCAGCAAACCATTCCGTCTGATTCTGCTCATAGACCCAAACACTCTACCTCTTTTCTCTCTCTACTTCCTTCTTTGCGTTTCCTGTCCCTTTTTAGTCTCTTCTTCCCTTGGCAACTACCCCCTTTCCAATGAACAAAACCTTTTTTCTGTGTCCTGCTCTCTAGGCTCTATAGAGAAAAGCAGAATTATGTGCAAATGGAAAAATACCTTACTCGTTTTTGTAATATTATCACTATTTCCTAGTAAGACCAATTCACAGTGAGATTCCTAGTGTATGATGACAGGAGTAGCCTGTGGGGAGATGACTTTGTTTGGGAGAAATGATAAGAGATTAAATTGGAATAATGAGAAGCCAGAAGGTATGGCTTTTCTTTCACTCTTCTCTCATACCCCCTTTGGTTTTCAGTGGTGTTGAATGAGAAATGGAAGCTGAGGTTCTAGCATAGGGGTTTGTATGTGTGTATTCAAGCAGATAATTCATAGTCTTATCTAGAAAACATGTTCTAATGTATTAAGTCACATCGAATAAGGTAGTGCTTAAGGCCACTGTAGTCTTTTAAATATGGGATTAATTACGTAGGCTTCTACTGATGATTTTTTTTTTTCCTGTTTCTGTGATTCTTGTTTTGTTTTTTGGTGAAGGCAGAATCTTGCTCTGTTGCCCTGGATAGAGTGCAGTGGTGTCATTGTAGCTCACTACAACCTCAAACTGCTGGGTTCAAGCGATCCTGCTTCAGCCTACTGAGTCGCTTGGACTACAGGCACATGCCATGACACCCAGCTAATTTTTCTGTTTTTAATAGAGAGGGGTGTTGCTCTTGCTCAGGCTGGTCTCAAACTCCTGACCTCAAGTGATCCTCTTGCTTTGGCCTCCCAGAGTGCTAGATTATAGGCGTGAGCCACCACATGAGGTCGATGTGATTCTTTTTTAATAAATACAGTCATAATGATGTTTTGGTCAACGATGAACTACATAAATGGTACTATGAGATTATAATACAGTATTTTTACTGCACCTTTTCATGTTTAGATGTGTTTAGATACTTACCATATGTTACAGTTGCCTACAATATCAGTAAAGTAACATGAAGTACAGGTTTGTAGCCTAGGAACAATAGCCTAGTGCTAAATCATTGCTATATTGGTATTCCCATATAATCTAGGTTTGTGTAAGTACAATGATGCAATCACCTAATGGCACATTTCTCAGAATGTATCCCCATAGTTGAACATGTGTGACTGTAAATATTGGAATTTATGCTGTCATATGGCAGATTTAGTTTAAAAATGTTTAAGCATGATAATTGTATTATAGAAAATTAATATATTTTCATGTACTGTTTTATAGGATGTAATAAATACTTTATTGCCTAAAGTTTTAACTAGAATAATTGAGGGACTCCAGGACCTTGATGATGATGTCAGAGCTGTTGCTGCAGCATCATTAGTGCCTGTAGTAGAAAGCCTTGTATATTTGCAGACACAAAAGGTAAATTAAATATTTTTACATTTTCTTCCTATATAGAGCTTGTTTATGTTTTGGATAATGGAGTATTAGGAAATACATTGAGTGCTTTTTTTTTCCTCTTTCATCCTCAAGTGTCTTTCAGCAGACAGCCCTCTGATGCATGCAATCTTGAATATATATTATCCTTAGGAAGAGTGAATTGTATTTATCTACTTTCCCTTCATATACATAATATACAGGGAACTTCCTTGAGAAGAAAGCCATTTCTTCTTTATTTTACTCTTGGTTTTTAGATATATGGGATTCTTGTCTGTTTTGATTTTGGTTTTTGGCTTTTGGTTTTCTAATCTGATCTCTTTTTTTTAAGTGACTCTTTTAAGATCTAGCTGACTTCCCATTTTATTATCAAAACCAGAACATAAAAGTTGTAAGTATAGCAAGCAGTATTTTTAGAGCTCAGAAACTAAATTTGTCTTTTTGTGATAATTAGTACCATTTTAAATGAAGTAAAATTGCTTTGCATAAAGAGGCATGTCTGTGTTTCCAGTATTATTTTCACAGTTTAATTTTTTACGTAAGTAGAGTATTGGTTGTTTTATTTGCTGAATTCTTCTGTCCATATGAGCCTGGTTAGGAAGAGAAGTGCCAAAGTAGAATTGAATAGCACTAAAAAGGGGGTTAGAGAATTGTTAGAGGCAAATAATGTCTCCTCTTTAACTTTGATGAAAACTTGCACTGTCCAAGGTCATTGGAATTATATGTGGTGTTGAAGCAGTAGTGGGATACAATTAGGCAGGGCTTATGAATAATTTGTGTAAAATTGGTAACTGTTTTCTTGAAAACAATCTTATAGGTACCCTTCATTATAAATACATTATGGGATGCTCTTCTGGAACTAGATGATCTAACAGCTTCAACAAATAGTATTATGACTCTTCTTTCATCCTTGTTAACTTATCCTCAGGTCCAACAATGCAGGTAAATATTTCTAACTAGTGGAATAAAGTAAAAAGCCTTTACATACCTTTCCAGATAATTAAGCCTAAACATAAAATATTTTAGCACCTTTCAGAATAGTACTGTAAGTTGAGATTGCCAAAGAGTACTATTTTCAGGAGGCCTTTTCTTCTTTTAGCCACCAACACATTTGTGGTAGGAGCTTATAAACATTATTTTCCTTACTCTTTGGTTACTTCAGTTACATAATTCATTATCCCGTTCATCCTATATAATAGTTTACTTTAGAAATATAATCATTTCATATTATTTCCAGCTATAGCTGCAGAATATAGAATTTTAGCCTTATTTAATGACATTTAGTTAATGGGATTATCATTGAACCTCAGCTGTATATTTTCTAAAACTTCCCCTCTGTAAACTTTTTCTTTGTAATGTTCATTTCTTCAACTCTTGTTCTTGATTTTACCAATTGCTTATGAGGAAGAGAACACATAATAAAAGTGTCATTGATTTTCCTATCCTGATATTTGAAGTGAAGCTCAGCTAATTAATGTATTCCCTGTCTTTTAGACAGGCTCCTAAATATTATTATATCAGAGGTAGAAAATAGTATCCTTAGAGATAGAGAAGAAAAAATTATTATGCAATTTTCTGCAATTCACAAAATTAATGTCGTTAGTCTAGTGAGGACATTCAGAGAGTATTCATATGATTATGATTATAGATGATTTTTGGCTTTATGAGTGACTATTGCCAGTGAAAACCATAGATGTATGAAAAACATGTAGAGATTGTTTTAAATAATCCTAACCTGATAGTACTTTAATGCTAAATTTATGTTAGTAGACAGCCCAGAAGTAGGTGTAGCAAAATAAGTGCCCATAAAAGCAAAAACAAAGTGGTGATGCAAAGACTACTATTTTCAAGAGGCCTTTTCTTCTAGCCACCAGCACATTTGGGGCAGGAGCTTATAAACCCAGCATATATTGGGTTTCCTGATTTTTGGATGTTCTTACGACTAATGAAAGCTGTACAATTTAAATGAGTTAATCTATGTGAAAGCCCTCTGTAAGCTGCAAAATGCAAGGGTTTTTAATTATGGTAAAACATGGGTTGGTAAACTTTTTCTGTAAAGGCTCAAATAGTGAATATTTTTGCACTGTGAGCCAGACAGTCTGTGAAAACTAACTCTGTCACTGTAGTATGAAAACAGCTATAGACAATATATGTAAAGTAATGAATGTGCCTGTATTTCAATAAAACTTTTATTTAAAAAAAATGGGTGGAGTGGATTTGGCCTATGGGGCCTTAGTAGATGGTGTCAGGAAAAACTAGATAATATAAGAAAATGAAAGAATATAGTGAAAATTCTGCTAATGTGAAATAATGTAGATTTCCATCTTTTTTGTTTCAAAATTGCCTTATTAGAAAATTTGCTACATATGTTGTGATATTTGGCAGATACTTTCCAGCTTATGTAAGAAGAAATGCAGCATGTCATTTGAAGCATGAACAATTATATTATTAACAAGACCTTGTTATAGTGCTTTTATGTATTTTGAGTCTTTTTTATGTCTGCGTGTGCATGTGTTTAAATTAGAATTTTATAAGTTAACTTACTAAATGTGTGAGTAAGTGTAAGAAGTAATGTTCCTACAAACCTGCAAGTAATTAAAATAGTGTTAAAGATAGGCCTCCTGAGAGGAACCACAAAAGACAAATACATAGTTACACTGGCATATTCTTTTTTGTTCATGCCTTTTTCTACAGAGGCATATATTTCAAATACTACTTATCAATCATTTCCTAATTCCAGGTAGCTTCCCAATGGGTCATGACTGTGACAGGAATCCTGTGGTCCAAGTTAGCCTAGGGTTTGCTTGCCTCCCCATTTAAAATCTAATCTGTGAGAAGGAAGAAATTTGAGTTTTTCTAACTTAGTAATGCTAAATCAGGGTAATAAATTTCAAAGCTACTACCATATCACCTCTAGCTCATTTGATATGTCACAGAGATGACCACAAACGGAGATGGAAGTTATATGCATCTGCCCTTTGGGTTTAGCCTTGGGAAAGGAATAAGGATTAGCAATTCTGATTGTGTAGGCTTACTATTAGTATTAGCTATCATAAGATACATGTCTTATCTTCCTAAGAATAATTATAATGGCAGTTATATTGGAAAGTTATAACTTGATAAGGGTAAATCATGGGATTAGTGCCATAGAAGAACCCAATGTTAGTATTTCTACCCTTTATTACTGCATTTGCACTGGCTCTTCTGGTGCTATAATAACAATTTTGAATGACAGTGTTAAGGGAATATTCATATGAAAATTGTTTTTTTTTTTAGAATTTATTCATCAAAAAGTCCTTTTGTGTCAGCATCACTAGGTCCATATGAGAATGATATTTAGATACTGTATGTATCTACGGAGTTTCAACTAAGAATAAGTAAGATTAATTTGTGTCTCCTTTATTAGTATTCAACAGTCACTCACAGTTTTAGTTCCACGTGTCTGGCCTTTTTTGCATCACACTATATCATCAGTTCGAAGAGCAGCATTGGAAACTCTGTTTACGTTATTATCAACACAGGACCAGGTAAGAACTAATAACTATGTACAGCGATCTGAAACTTACATAAATTAATTTTATAAAACAAGCCTGACCATTAGCTTACTCTTTCTGCATATTTCATGATCAGGAGAATTCTGGGCCTCGTAGAAGTGGTATGAGACACATATAATCTCATGAGGACAGAAATATTTTATTCTAGGTTGTATTCTTAGCACTTGGAATTTTGCTTAATACATAGGAGGTCTTCAGTAAATATTTGTTGAATGAATGATTGCTTAGTCCCTTCCTGTTGGAAACCTGTTATTTAATCTTTGCTTGCTCTTTTTCTGTGTGATTGACCATTGGGTGGTTGGCAGAACTCGTCCCAGGTTAGAAGGCTGCATTTGAAGCTCTGAAATATAACTCTTAAAGACTGACCATAGAATTCCTAGGCTCTTGTCTCCTCTTAAAGATTACTCAATCTTAAGAATATGCTATTTCCAAGGATAGTATATTTCAGGAGTCATGTATTATAATGCCTGTAGAGATCATTCAGGTAATATCAGTGTGTGAATGGAGCCTGTAGTGAGCTAAGGGATCCTTGCCCTGTTTTTTATAGGAAGCTTCACAATTCGTGTTTTTTATAAATAACCGTGTAGGTCAAACAAAATATTTAGAATTTAGGAAACTATCAGTAAGAATTCCATTCTTCTATCATGATATCATGCATAGGTACTATAGTTTGGACCAATCATCTTTAAAAAGCAGTGGTTAATTTTTCTAAATAGTAGATTATTGCATGAATAAATGCCTCTTTTATGTTTACTAACTGTGCATTTCCACGTGAATTAGGAATATTCCATGTAGACTTGCTTTAATCTGCAGCATGGTATTGTTATGGAACTTTTGTGAATAAACATCTGTAAATTTTGTTTTGCATTATCCCTTCGGTTTTGTCTAATCAGAATCTTCTCTGGAACAACTGTCAGGTCTGTTTTATCATTCTCAGTAGATCAGGCATGGACTGATGTGACAACTGGCATGGGTTGTTCTTAATTTTCATTTCATCTTTGTTTTAATTTTGTGATTTTTGCCTAAATGTTTTTGATATTATTAAATTCACTTTATATAGATTCCCTTAAAGTTATCATATTTCTTCCTTTCACATGATTCTTTTTTTATACGTAGACTTTATTTTTAAGAACAGTTTTAGGTTTACAGAAAAGTTGCGGGAAAAGTACAGTTCCTATATACCCTTTTATATCCCTCCCACCACCCATACATAGTTTCCTTTATTGTTAACATCTTACATTAGTGTGGCACATTTTTACAGTTGAACCAATACTGGTATGTTTTTTTTTGTTGTTTTTTTTTTTTTTTTGAGACAGAGTCTCACTTTGTTGTCCAGGCTAGAGTGAGTGCCGTGGCGTCAGCCTAGCTCACAGCAACCTCAAACTCCTGGGCTCGAGCGATCCTTCTGCCTCAGCCTCCCGAGTAGCTGGGACTACAGGCATGAGCCACCATGCCCGGCTAATTATTTTTTTATATATATATCAGTTGGCCAATTAATTTCTTTCTATTTATAGTAGAGACGGGGTCTTGCTCTTGCTCAGGCTGGTTTTGAACTCCTGACCTTGAGCAATCCGCCCGCCTCGGCCTCCCAAGAGCTAGGATTACAGGCGTGAGCCACCGCGCCCGGCCGTGGTATGTTATTTTTAACTAAAGTTTCTACTTTACATTAGGGTTTACTCTTTGTGTTTTAGAATCGATGGCTTTTTGACAAATGTACAATAATGATTATGTACCCACAATTACAGTATCATACAGAATAGTTTCATTACTTTGAAAATCCCTTTCTTTCCCTCTCCCTGAACTGTTGGCAACCACTGATCTTTTTATTCTCTGTTTATTTTTACCTTTTCTGCAATGTCATGAGTTGGAATCATAATATGTAGCCATTTCAGATTGGCTTCTTTCACTTAGCAATATGAAATTAAGTTTTTGCTATGTCTTTTTATGGCTTGATCACTCATTTGTTTTTATCACTGAAGAATATTCCATCATATAGATAAACCACAGTTCATTTATCTATTCACCTATCGAAGGACATCTTGATTGCTTCCAAGTTTTGACAATTATAAATAAAGCTGCTATATACATCTGTGTACAGGTTTTTGTGTGGACCTAAGTTTTAACCTCCTTTGGGTAATTACCAAGGAGCATGATTGCTGGATTATATATTGTAAAGGAATTTTTAATTTTGTAAGAAACTTCCAGACCATCTTCCAAAGTATCTATACCATTTTGCATCAGTGAGCGAGAGTTCCTGTTCTCTACATTCTAGCCAGCATTTGATGTTGTCAGTGTTCTGGATTTTGGCCATTCTAATAGCTTAATAGCTTATTTCCTGGCAACATATTATGAGAGCCATCTTTTCATATGCTTATTTGCCTAGACTTTATTTTTTTAGAGCAATTTAGGTTCATGCAAAATTGAAGGGAAAGTACAGTTTCCATATACCTCATCCCTTATCCTCTACACAGCCTCCACCACCATCAACATCCCATACCAGAGTGGCATATTTGTTACAGTCAGTGAGCCTACATTGACAAATGATTATCCACCAGAGTTATAGTTTACATTATGGTTCCCTCTTGGTGTTGTACATTCTGTTGGCTCAAGAAATAATGTTGGCCAGGAGCGGTGGCTCACGCCTGTAATCCTAGCACTCTGGGAGGCCGAGGTGGGAGGATCGCTCAAGGTCAGGAGTTCGAAAACAGCCTGAGCAAGAGCGAGACTCCGTCTCTACTAAAAATAGAAAGAAATTAATTGGCCAACTAAAAATATATAGAAAAAATTAGCTGGGCATGGTGGCACATGCCTGTAGTCCTAGCTACTTGGGAGGCTGAGGCAGAAGGATTGCTTGAGCCCAGGAGTTTGAGGTTGCTATGAGCTAGCTGACACCATAGCACTCACTCTAACCCAGGCAACAGAGTGAGACTCTGTCTCAAAAAAAATTAAATAAATGAAAAGGACTTAATTAAACTAAAAAGTTTCTGCACAGCCAAGGGAATAAATAATAAACAGACAACCTACAAAATGGGTGAAAATATTTGCATAGTATACATTGCTTTGAGGATCGCTTGAGCCCAGGAGTTTGAGGTTGCTGTGAGCTAGGCCGATACCACGGAACTCTAGCCCGGGAGACAGAGTGAGACTCTGTCTCAAAAAAAAAAAAAAAAAAAAAAAAAAAGCTAATATAAAAAGCACTCAGAAACCATATATATTAAAACTTTAAATTTTATAAAAACTTAAAAAAAATGTTGTGTATCCACAATTACATCACATAGAATAGTTTCACTGCCCTAAAAATCCTGTGCTCCACCCATGTATCCTTTTCTCCCCCAGTTGTTTTTTTTTTTTTTTTTTTTGAGACAGAGTCTCACTTTGTTGTCCAGGCTAGAGTGAGTGCCGTGGCGTCAGCCTAGCTCACAGCAACCTCAAACTCCTGGGCTCGAGTGATCCTTCTGCCTCAGCCTCCCGGGTAGCTGGGACTACAGGCATGCGCCACCATGCCCGGCTATCCCCCAGTTGTTTTTAATAATTATAAAGTAGAATTTACTATACGAACAAGTTTGTAGCCTGAGAAGATGACTGTAATTTATATCACATTTATTGGTTATAAATATAGGAGGACATCTTCCTCTATAAATGTGACTTTGGGATCTATAAGAAACTGCTTGGATTGCCAATGATCGGGGAAAATCAGAAATGAAAAGACATTGTGGAAAAGTAATATTAAATTATTTGCTTATTGCTATGGCAGCTTTCCTAGTTCTGTTAAGATTGTCCTTAATTTTCTCCAATGAGAAAAGAAGAACTTTTCTTCTTCCCAGCTTCCCTTTCTCTTTCAGTGAAAAGTAAAATTAAGGCATAGCAAAGTGGTGAGTATTCTCCCTCAGCTAATGACTTTCTAGGCTGTTTTAAACTTCTTTCAAACCATCTTGAGAACATACAACCTTGTCCTATCTTTGTCATTAGTTTTCCATTGTCTAGAAAATTATAGTGGCTTTCTAAGTTATACATGTACTATCCCCAGAACTTGTAAGTTTCTGGAATTTCAATTAAAAATTTCAAATTTCTCTTCAGTCATCTCCAGAAGTATTTTTTTTTTCTTTACAAAAGTCAGGGGGACTGAACTGGGTGTGGCAGCTCACACCTGTAATCTTAGCACTTTGGGAAACTGAGGCAGGAGGATCATTTGAGCCCAGGAGTTTGAAGTTGCAGTGAGCTATGATGATGCCACTGCACTCTAGCCTGGGCAACAAAGTGAGACTCTATCTTAAAAAAAAAAAAAAAAGTCAGAGGTCAGGGGCTGTAATAGGTGCTGTGACTAGTTACTAGAAATTTTCTGATGGTCAGTCCTATTCATTGAGCTTGTAATGATTTGAACAGCTGTAGACAACATGTGGGATTCCTTGTTCTGAGCATTCTGAGCACACAATAGATAACTTGGTTAAGCACTATTTGGTTGATTGATTTGGGTAGACCTATGAATTGTTGAGAAATTCCATAGATTTAAATTCTTAACCTAGGCTTAAGGAGATCTCTAAAAGCCCTGAAATTGGAAGCAAAATGTTATATATACCTAAGTATGTATAAAACACATATGTGTGTTTTTCTAAAAAAAAGAGTGTGCATACTTTCATTAGATTTTCAAAAGGTCCCTGACCCAAAATACCATAAGAACATTTGCCTTAATTTTATTGTGAACTCCAAGTAGAAGATTCTATGTTGGATGTCATCTTATAATTCATTACTTGCATTATTGGTGACCACAATAATAAGTTCTGATCATTTAGCCATTTAGCACAGCAGCAGTGATCTGATCATTTTTCACATTTTCCTTACAAAGCAGTGAGGTATGATGTAACCAAGGAGCTGTTGCTGGTTAGAACTTGGTTCAATATGGAGGATAATTTCTACTTATTTGAGGCAAAATTCAGTGTTGTTAATGATAATCAGACTTTTTCCACCTCCCTAGTGATTATATGCTATGGCTATGCAATTTCTCTAAACCATTGGAATAATAAATACAATATTTATTGCCTCAAAATCTTGTCAGAATTTATAACCAGTTGAACCTTTTTGATAAAGCTATGCAGTCCTTTTGTGGTTAATACATTTGTCATTCAACTTATAACTCTTTAAGGAAGCTGACATTCAGAATTACATGCTATAGCTTTGGTTCTGTTTTTGTTTTCAGAACTCTTCATCTTGGCTTATACCTATCCTGCCTGATATGCTCCGACACATTTTTCAGTTCTGTGTTTTAGAAAGCAGCCAAGAAATTCTGGACCTCATTCACAAGGTACATAGTCCATATATTTGCACTCCTTTTCCTAGTAACTTTGTAGATTTTTTTTTTTATTTCATAATTGCTGTACTGTTGGTCAGGGACTTTAAGAAATTTGAAATCATCCAAGAGACTTGGAAAGGCCAGGGATCTGCAGGATGAGATTGGGAACTAGGTTTTTTATGGGATGTAACAAGTTTTGGTTGGCCATGCTTCTTCCTCTTATTAAGTATCTTTTGAGATCTATTGGTAATATAGAGTCCAATTATGTGTTTTTTCCTTAGCAAAATTGGTCATGAGTATAGGAATCTTTAAAGGAAGAGCTGTTTGATATATTTAATAACATTTATGGAGGGAAATGGTACTGTTGTACCTTTAGACTCTATTAAGTTTAATCTTGAATTGTTGCCTCTAAGGTGGCTTATTATTAATAGCCTTGGATTAACAGTAGTGTTAATTCTACATGCTGGTCCTAGCCCATTAAATGTTAGGCATTAAGAAAGTACCTTATTAAGATCATAAATCAAGATATACTGTTTTAAATTTATACTAGAATATTACCACCTCTAAATTTAGCAGAGAATTTTTATTAGGAGCTACTATATCTTGAAGTGTGTGTTGACTATAAGACTGCATTAATATTGAGTCTTATGATAAATGCAAAGGGTTTATTTCAGTGACTTATTGAGATTTTCACAACTCTATATTATTTTTATGGGCATATTTTATTTTGAAAGAGTTTCATAAATTATTGAAGAAGATTCTTTGTATTCCCCCTTTTTAAAAAAACTTTCCTTTGCATTACTTTTTAGTATACAAACCTATCAAAAAACAGTATTTCAAAATAAGCCTTCATATTGAAATTTTAAATTACTGTGTGCTATTTCCTACTTTCTTTTTTAAATTCAGTATTCCGAAAAATAAGTATTAGGTTTTGTTAGCACTTACTAGAAAAATTTCACCTCCCTGTTCTCCTTTTATACTGTAGGTTTGGATGGAGCTGTTGAACAAGGCTTCTGTTCAGTATGTGGTAGCAGCTGCTTGCCCATGGATGGGTGCTTGGCTTTGCTTAATGATGCAGCCTTCTCATTTACCTATTGATTTAAACATGTTGCTAGAAGTAAAAGCTAGAGCCAAGGTAAGTGTAGAGAGTCATAATGTATTTGTACGTTCAACTCAATTATTAACATAGTAGCCATATAAGAAATCTGTATTGCTTTGTTAAATGTGATTTCATTTATTTAACATAAGTAAAGGAGAAACTTTTTTTATTAGGACCTTGACAAAATGAGTAGTAATTTTTAACCATTAAAATTTTCTGAAAAGAACTGTATTTTACTGGAGTTCTAACAAATGATTGTCTTTTTGTTGTTGCCTGCTAAATTTTAATGATTACCTCTTTATTATTGTTTTCCTTCCCCCTTTCCCTCTAGGAAAAAACAGGGGGTAAGGTGCGCCAAGGCCAAAGCCAGAATAAAGAAGTACTTCAGGAATATATTGCTGGTGCAGACACCGTCATGGAAGACCCGGCCACCAGAGATTTTGTGGTTATGAGGGCCAGAATGATGGCAGCCAAGTGAGTATATGTTAAGCGTCAGGTAATCATAAGTTCACTGGTCTGGCTTTCAAAGGTCATTTAACTAAAGGATTCCTCTGATGTGTCTGTCAGTACTTCTTTTATCACACTAGTTATAGCCTAAGAAAAAATTAAACAGTAAATATTTTTAATGTTTTTAAGTTTTAAAATATGATTTATATCTTCTTATGAAGATAAGATAGGAGTTGTATCTTCTATGGGAAAAGTTATGGCTTCAGTACGGGAAATTTTACTTCAAGTAATTTCTATAGTAACTTCCTTTTTTCCCCTTCTCAGGTTGTTAGGAGCACTATGTTGCTGTATTTGTGATCCAGGTGTAAATACAGTAACCCAAGAAATTAAACCAGCTGAATCCCTGGGCCAGTTACTGCTCTTCCATTTGAACTCCAAATCTGCCTTACAGAGGATTAGTGTAGCTTTGGTAATCTGTGAATGGGCTGCCTTACAAAAGGTAAGATTTTGCCCCCAAAATAATAAAGACAAATTAAGTAAACCAATCTCCATTAGTGTTAGTATTATTTACATTATATTTTATAACAGAAAAGTGAAAATATTCTCTGTATAAAAATCCAACTTATAGACAGTATTACAAATTATATTGAACATTATTTCTATCCCATTTACCTTTAATCCTAGACATTTTTCTTAGAACCATCATACTTGTACCTGAGAATACTAGCTTTGCCCATATTTAATATTTGCTCTTGACCCTATAGTCTGTTAAGAAATGTTCCTATTAAAAATGTGTATATATGGAAGCAGTTCAGAAACTGTTGGTCATCCATTTCTCTAGGTTTTGAGTATTAGAGATCCATTTGTATGGATAATAGCAATGGCAGAATATTAAATCACAGGAAGAATAAAATCTCTGTATTTAAACCAAAATCTTCATGTTTCCAAATAAATCATTCCCTTCCATCCTCTTTAATGTTTTACTTCTATTAATAGTAAGATGTATGATTTTGTGTAAGACTTGGTTCTTTAAATCAAAGAAACTTCCTACTGGCTTTGTTTATTCTGTTGACTGGAATTCTGGAAATTTAACTGTCTGCACTTGCTGTGAGAGTTGCTTGTTACTGCCTGTTAGCAGTTTGTCAAAGCTGTGTCTAAAAGTAATTGAGCCACGCTCCATTACAACTGAGACCCCTGCTTTGCCTCTGGAAAGAAGCAAAGCTCATCTATTTTTAGGCAGGACTCGGTGTGCTGGAGAGGCAGTGATGCTATGTTTTTGTGCCTCTCAGACTCAACAGCAAGTGTTGACAGTTCGGTTTCTGGACCCTCACAGAGCTTCTCTGGACTTACTCTGTGAAGCCCAGGCTGATCACCCAGATCCCACAGAACCCCTCATGGCTCACCACTGAGGCTATTCCCCCTCTGGTTGGGGCAGGCAACAACCAGAGAGAGTGGGAAGGGTTAGTTAAATTTGGGGGCAGGTAAGTAGCTTTTAAATTATGTATCCATTTCTACAGTATGGCATGTGAAGAAGCTATGGGCTCAACTGTTAAGAAACCTAATAATGAGTTTTTAAATCACATTTTTAGTTAGTGCATGCTAGATTTTTTCTGATTTTTTTTACAGTAATATACTTTAAAATCTGTGCTTTCTATATATACACATATAAACTTTGAATAAATTGAGTAAAATAAGAGTAGGTAGAAAATTTAATGGAATTTTAATAGTTCTGTGTGCATGTTCTGTAGTTGTTCATATTAAAAGTTTAGAGTAGTTTGGGTATAATTCCTTTTCTCTATGTTCTGGGAAATAACAGATTCAAAATATATAGAAATTGAGAACTTGGTAGTCAACAAGGGAAGATTTAGGTATTTAAAAAGTTATGTTGATATATTTTCCCTGACTATTTTTTGTCTATTATATTTTAGGAGTGTAAAGCTGTTACCCTAGCTGTGCAGCCACGTTTACTTGATATCCTTTCAGAACATTTGTATTATGATGAAATTGCCGTTCCATTCACACGAATGCAGAATGAATGTAAACAGCTTATATCATCATTAGCTGATGCACATATTGAAGTTGGTAATAGAGTAAACAACAATGTTTTAACAATAGATCAAGCTAATGGCCTGGTGAGTAATGAAATAGCTTTCTTAATTTTAGATAGAGTATGAGAGTAATAATAGAAATTTGTTGTGACATGTTTACCACAAAAACCTGCTAATTTGTTGAGTCTGTCTGTGGCTTGGTAGCCTGTCACCTGTGCCCTTTAGAAAGATTATTTCATTGTATTGACTTTCTTCAAATAAGAGGGTAGGGAAAGAATTTTTTTTTAAACTCAAATGCTGACAAATGGATGCATCGTTATTAGAAAAAGCTGTTGAATTTTATTTCAGTTTTACTTAAGACCGGCAGAGTATAGAAAGAACTGCTCCCAGCCTATAATGAAAATGATTAAATGTACAGAAAACATGAGAAAATTACACAATGAACATTCATATACAACAGCTTATTTTACAGTTAACATTTTACTAAATTTGCTTTATCACATATATATTCAACTGTCTACTCCATCCAACCATCAATCTGTCTTATTTTTTGATACATTTCTGTTAGTTTCAGATACCAGTGCACTTTAGCATGTATATAATTAACTAAAATTCAGTAATTGTTTATGATTTTTTCTCTGTTTTGAGGTTAAGTTTATGTACTAAAGTACACAAATCTTAGGTGGACCATTTGATGAATTTTGACAGATGCATATACCTGTGAAACCCAAACCCTTATCAAGAAACAGAACTTTACCATCTCTAATTCCCAATCTCTGCCTCTCTCTGCCCCCAACTAACCATGATTCTGATTTTTCTCCCACTGTAAATTACTTTTGCCTGTTCTGCAATTTCATATAAGTAGAATTATACACTGATCTTTGGCGTAAGGATTTTTTCAGCGTGATGTTTTTGAAATTTGTCCATATTATATGTATAAATCTTATTTATTGCTGAATTTTATTCCATTGTATGCATATGCCATGATTAGTTTAAGCCATTTTCCTATTGACAGATGCTTACGCTAGTCTCAGTTTTGGCTGCTGTGAACAAAGCTGCTATATAAACATTCTTCTATAGCTATTTTTGTGAACTTTTTTTTTTTGAGACAGGGTCTCAATCTGTCATGTGGGCTAGAGTGCAGTGTCATCATCATAGCTTACTGAACCTCAAACTCCTGGGCTCCAGAGGTCCTACTGCCTCACCCTTTTGAATAGCTGGGACTCTAGGTGTGTGCTACCACGCCTGGCTGATTTTTTGGTTTTGTTCTTTTTGTAGAGACAGGGTCTCACTTGTGCTCAGGCTGTTCTCAAACTCTTGGCCTCAAGCAGTCCTCCCACTTTGGCCTCCCAAAGTGTTAAGATTACGGGCGTGAGCCCTTGTGCCCAGCCTGTAGATATATACTTTCATTTTCTTGGATAAATATATAGGAATGGAATTGCTGGGTCATAAGACAGGTATATGTTTAGTTCTATAGGAAACTACAGACCATTTCCCAAACTAAAGGTCATTTCACCCTCTGTCAGTCAGTATGTGAGAGTTCTGGTTACTCCACATCATCACTAATGTTTGGGGTGGTCAGTCTTTTTAATTTTAGCCATTTTGGTGGTGGTTTGATCACTGTGTCACTGTGGTTTTAATTTACATTTCCTTGATGACTAATGTAGTAAATACTGTTTATATCCTATTGGCCATTTGTACGTTTTATTCTCTGAAATGGCAAATCTTTTGTCCACTTTTAATTAGGTTGTTTATTATTGTTGCGTTGTAGGAGTTCTTTGTATGTCTTGGCAGAGTTAGGCTTGCCTTTTGATTGTCTTAATGGTGTGTTTGCATGAGCAGATATTTTAAATTTTGGTGAAATCTAATTTATCAGTTGTTTAATGGTTATTGTGTTCTGTGACATGTCTAACCTTTTGCTATCTCCAAGCGGCAAAGGTATTCACATACATTTTCTTCTAAAATTTTGTAGTTTTAGCTTTATATTTAGATTTATCATCCATATTGAATTAATGTTTGTATAAGTGTGAAGTGGAGGTTGAGGCTTGTTTGTTTTTCTTATAGATACCTAGTTTTTCTAGCATTGTGTATTGAAAAGACTTTCCTTTCCCCATTGGATTGCTTTGGCACCTTTGTAAAAAATCAACTGAATTATAAGTGTGAATCTATACCTGGGCTCTATTTGTTCAGTCAATGTCTTGATGACAGGAACTCTGTACTTAGTATGCCTGTAAGGTTGGGTAGTGTAAATGAGTTCTTCCTTTTTTTTTAGTTATAGGGTCAGAAATGGAGTCACTTCATTTATGTTGGTCCCCATGAAATAGTAATCTTTATTTCTTATCTCCCTTTCTAATTGAAAAATATTAATAATATGGTTGAAATTTTTTTGTTCTCGCCTGTAAGAGAAAGCTAAAATTACCATTTTTTCCCCTGAGTTGTTCTTATATAAAGTTGTTTTTCTCATTATTGTTATTCTGTAAATTTCCCTTTTTGCCTCCACCCACCTTAAATCTCTCAAATTTTCTTTATGGTCTTGGTTCCCTTTCTATTATATCTGGGAACTTTTCTTTCTAAAGCTCATCACATGGCCCCTTTTTCAGGGTATTATGCAGAGCCCTTACTCCCCAATGAAATTACCTTTCTGCTTCATCAGTTACATTAGTTCAATTGTTTTGATCTGGGATAGAAGACAAGCATAAATATCAATCTCTGGAAGAGAGGATTGAGGGAAGGGCAGTTTTCAAAGGTCCCTTGGCTAAGAGCCATTGCCCTTTGTATCTTTCATTTAAATACCTATTTTCCTATTACCTGCCAAATATGGGCATTTCCCTGACAGGGTCAATCATTGTCCTTTTCACCATTTTCATTACTTAATTCTTACCTATGTGCTAGCTATTCTCAATCTTTCTTATGTTCTTCTGTTAGGCATTTTTACTTAAATACTTCACTGTCACTTCAGATATAACCAAAACTGGGATTTTTTTTTAATAGAAAAATGCTCTTTTGATCCATAGTCACAAAGCTTGTCAGCATTTTCTTTCTGAAAGTCTCATTTTTTTTTTTTTCTGTTTCCATTGTCACAGCCCAATCAAAGGCCTTACTACTTTTAAGTCTAGGTCCTGACTTACCTTTAAGTCTCCAGGTAGTCTCTGGTCTATTTCATTCTGCATGCTGTGCTAGAATAGTAATGTACCTTTAATGCCATTCTGAACATGTCCCTCCCCTGCTTAAAAATACTATTTTCTGTTTCCTTGCTTTTTACTCTTTTCCTTTCTTACTTTCATCATCATCTTTGAGTTCTTTTTTCTCCTCATTATTTCTCAAACTTCCTCCTCTCAAGCCCTAGTTAGCTTTCTTCTTGCAGAAGTCCACCACACTCATTCACTTCTATATCTTGCTCATTCTCACTGCTATGCCTAAGCTGCTTATTTCCTTTGCCAGGAATTCCTTACCCCTATGCTCATTTCTTGATACTCCTCTTCTGTACCTTGTGCTCAGTCTATGATTAACTGTTCTCAGTTCCTTAGATAATGCCCTGCTTCCTACTCCCTACCTCACTTTATTTGCCAAGATGTGCCTATAACCTCTGCCTTACCCATTGTTTAAAAACCAAGCACAAGTGTCTTACTCTCCTCTGGCAAGTCTCTGCTAATCTCTTCTGCTAGGAAGGGTTAAGAAACCCTATGTACTCCACAGCATCCTACACATACCTCAGTTATATATTAAATTTTCTTAATTCGTTACTTGTATATCTCTCTACCACATTAATCTCTGCATTATTTGAGTGTATTAAGGTATTAAGTCTTACCCATCTTTTAGTACTACTTATTAGTATTACTGGTTGAATGATTGAATTAATTTGGGGGCAATTGGAAAGCCTTCCATATTTGTCTACAATCATTAAAAATTAACATAAAGCATAGTATATTTAGGAAAATGTTTTCAAACTTTTAGCTGTTTATCTCTTTCAAATAATTCTTATGCAGAACTGAAATAAAACAGACAAAGTAGAAAAAATAAGCTGTAAATGGTATTTGATTTTTCTTCCTTTGTGGTGAACAGATTGACATGGTCAAACAGATATAGTTCAATTTGAAGTTTTTAGTATGCTATAATGAAAAAAGATCTTATTTGTATGCCTATTTTACATAATAAAAGACCAGTGTTATCAGTGTTGTCCATAATGGAATCGATAACTTCTAAGCCTTAAAAATTAGGTTCTCCATTTTAAAAAGTTTAGATTGTCCAATGTTATAGGCTTTTCTGACCAATAATGATCAGACTGGATCCATTTATGGAGGCTCTTTATGATTGTAGTTACCTATCAAACAACATACAATTACCTATTAAAACATTTTTATATAAACCATCACACAGTCTTTAAATGGTAAATAAAAGAACACATGGGCCTGTCTTAGTGGCTCACTCCTGTAATTCCAGCACTCTGCAAGGCCAAGGCGGGAGGATCACTTGAGCTCAGGAGTTCGAAACCAACCTGAGCAAGAGTGAGACCCTGTCTCTACTAAAAAATGGAAAAAGTTAGCCAGGCATGGTTGCACACACCTGTAGTCCCAGCTACTTGGGAGACTGAGGCAGGAGGATCACCTGAGCCCAGGAGGTTGAGGTTGCAATGAGCTATGATGATGCCACTGCACTCTAGCCGGGCCAACAGAACAAGACTCTTGTCTCCCTCTTCCCCCCAAAAAAACCGCACACAACATTCATAACAGCATTATTCATAATAGCTAAAAGGTAGGAACAACTTGAATGTTCATTCATTGATGAATGGATAGATAAAATATGGCATATTCATATGGTGAAATATTATTAGACCAAAAAAAAGCAATAAAGTACTTATACATGCTACAACATGGATGAACCTTGAAATCATTATGCTAAATGAATGAAACCAGTCATCAAAAGACCTATACTTTATGATTCCATTCATATGAAATACCCCAAAAGACAAATCTACAAGGTAGGAAGGAGATAAGTGGATTCCATAGGGTTGGGGGAAAATGAAGAGTGATTGTTAAGGGGTATGAGTTTTCTTTTTTGGTTGATGAAGAAGTTCCAAAATTGTAGTAATTCACAACTCTGTGACTTAAAAAAACCCACTGAATTATATACTTCATATGGGTAAATTTTATGATTAATGAATTATATCTCAATAAAGTTGTTTAAAAAGATGGACTGAATAGTTTTTTAAATGGTGTTTGTAAAGTCTGGTATGACAGTCTTGTAGTCTTAGACAGCTCTTGGTAGTTAAAAAATTGATGACTAGGCCGGGCGCAGTGGCTCACGCCTGTAATCCTAGCACTCTGGGAGGCCGAGGCGGGCGGATTGTTCGAGGTCAGGAGTTTGAAACCAGCCTGAGCAAGAGTGAGACCCCGTCTCTACTATAAATAGAAAGAAATTAATTGGCCAACTAATATATATAGGAAAAAAAAACAACCGGGCATGGTGGCGCATGCCTGTAGTCCCAGCTACTCGGAAGGCTGAGGCAGTAGGATCACTTGAGCCCAGGAGTTTGAGGTTGCTGTGAGCTAGGCTGAAGCCACGGCACTCACTCTAGCCTGGGCAACAAAGTGAGACTCTGTCTAAAAAAAAAAAAAAAAAAAATTGATGACTACTGTAATGTTTGTTTTCTTTTTCTCCTTTTCCTATTGCCTGAGCATTTCTATCAGATAGGAGGTCAAGGAAAGAATGAAAATAATTCAGTTTAGCAACACTTAGCCACTTAGCAAACAACTCCCCTAAGTTTTTCTCAGTTTTCAAATTGAAAAGAATATTTATCCCAAGATGAAGTTTGTGAATTTTGTTATTCTTTAATTAACAGTTAAGTTTATATTTGCTTTAGCTTTCTCATTTCACCAAAGTATTCTGTGAGTGTTAAAGTGATTTTCCTCAAATTCATTAGATATATTTAAAGGATAAGTAATTTTATTCTTCTCAGTGTATTTTTCTTAAAGAATATAATGCTAATGTTAAATCAGATTAAAATGAAGTTTATTTGGGAGTTTTTTAGACTTTACTGAGTGCTAAAACAATGCTAGATATTGGGAAACCTAAAGTTGAAATAGAGATCTTGCTGTCTGCCCTTTAGAAGTTTGCAGTCTATTTGGGGTTAATATGATTAATGATTTTTAATTTCTTTTTTTCTTAATAGGTCACCACTGTTTTTAATGAAGTCACATCATCTTTTGACGTAAATCCTCAAGTGTTACAGCAGTTAGATAGTAAACGACAGCAGGTCCAAATGACAGTTACAGAGACCAACCAGGAGTGGCAAGTGTTGCAGTTGAGAGTACATACTTTTGCTGCATGTGCAGTTGTGAGTTTGCAGCAGCTTCCGGAGAAATTAAATCCTATCATAAAACCATTAATGGAGACGATTAAAAAAGAAGAGAATACACTAGTGCAAAACTATGCAGCTCAGTTTATAGCTAAACTACTTCAGCAGTGCACAAGAAGGACACCCTGTCCCAATTCAAAAATTATTAAAAACCTCTGTAGCTCACTTTGTGTGGACCCATATCTAACTCCTTGTGTCACATGTCCAGTACCAACACAGAGTGGCCAGGAAAATTCTAAAGGTATATACCTAAACCTTTATTTGGGGTAGAGAAAGAATTAACCATTTAAATTTGTTTTCATTTACTTATGAGGGTAATATAGCACAAATCCAGTTCATGTTAGAGCCTTTTCCCATTCTGAGAGAAAAAGCTCAGTTATAACGAACTCCTTGTTACATGATGTGTACATACTGCCAATTTGTCATACCTTCTAAATTCAAGCCGTTCATAGAACATCTGATATCTGATATAAGGTGACTGAAATATGTGAGACAGATGTTCATCCTTACCTTTACCTTGAAAACAATCATTGTATGGCTTACTATATTTAGGCTGAATTGTATCAGATGTCATTTAATGAGAGTTCTTATAAAATTTCTGGTTTCTCTAATTTTGTGCATGTTTTATGAGATGAGTCAACTCTATTTTGGAAAATAATACTTAACCAACCTTTCTGTTTTCAACTGGAGAATTGCTATGGAAAATGAGAACTGCTGTCTGTAGACAGGTCTCAAGGTCCAATGTTTCTTCACATGACTGTCCGGATTTACTTTTTTGTTAAGAAGATTTTAGAAAAACAAATTATTTGAAATATAATAGATTTATAACTTTGACACCATACAGATCTTGAAAAAAATGTGAACAAACTAGAAAAAGAATGTGGACATTTTGAACATTAACAGTTTTTTTTTTCCTGAACATTAACATCTTGAAAACTCGGTGGAGTCATTTCCACTTCTTCTCGCCCTGCACCTTTTTCTGAATTCATGGTGACTATGGACATTTCTTTTAGAGACAACTCGAGTGAAATGTTTTTTAATGTTTATAATTATGCCTGCACACAGTAATTTACTTTATAAAAATTAATATCCTTTAACTGAAGTGACAGTTTTTGAATGTGATGTTTTTCCTGTTCACATGATTGTACAGCTTGTGTTGTATTAGGTATAAACCCTGTGCAAATAGATAATTTTGTTAACCATTTCATTGTCTGAAGAAAAGATCAGCAACCTGTAAGAACTGAGGCCTAAAAGACATATTTTAAAATATGTTACACCCCTTTTAGAGCAGGAAACATTTTGTCATGTATACTATGATTAAAAGGTTATTTAACTTTTTCTCTTATTAGGGTCCAACTCAGAAAAAGATGGAATGCACCATACAGTGACCAAACATAGAGGTATAATTACACTCTATAGGCATCAGAAAGCTGCTTTTGCTATCACAAGTAGGCGAGGTCCTACCCCCAAAGCAGTAAAAGCTCAAATAGCAGATCTTCCTGCAGGAAGTAGTGGAAATATTCTTGTTGAACTTGATGAGGTAAATAATATTTTTCTTTGAATGCTATTGATTTTTTTACACATATCTGGCTTACAAATTGAGAACTAAGTTATCAAATTAGCTTCCAGAACTGTATTTTTAAGTGAAAGGACTAGTATTAATAACCTTTTGGAGTACTCCAGCAACATAATCCAGAAAAACAGCAAACTTCTTCAGATTTCTCTTGCCTTTTGTAATTTTTACCAGCTTAACTTTATCTTCATAGGCAAAGAATGTTTGTGATCGTGGATCCATAGGTTATTCATAAATATAAATTTAATTCACTCTCATGGCAGTGACTGTAGAGAAGTTTTTTTTTTTTGTTTTTTTTTTTTGAGACAGAGTCTCGCTTTCTTGCCTAGGTTAGAGTGAGTGCCGTGGCGTCAGCCTAGCTCACAGCAACCTCAAACTCCTGGGCTTAAGCAATCCTACTGCCTCAGCCTCCCGAGTTGCTGGGACTACAGGCACGAGCCACCATGCCCGGCTAATTTATATATATATATATTAGTTGGCCAATTAATTTCTTTCTATTTTTTATAGTAGAGACGGGGTCTCGCTCAGGCTGGTTTTGAACTCCTGACCTTGAGCAATCCGCCCGCCTCGGCCTCCCAGAGTGCTAGGATTACAAGCGTGAGCCACCGCGCCCGGCCTAGAGAAGTTTTAAATAGCAGTGAAAGCTAACTTTTCTCAGTCCTTTTAATATCAGGAATACCTGTTGATATTCAGAGGATAAGTTTACAAATGTCAGATAATTGCCACACATTTGACTTTTAGTGGGCCTGAAATTTATTAAATGTGTGTGTGAGGTAGGGATCTAAATTTGTTTTTCCATATGAACAGCCAGTTATCTCACTGTTGAAGCCTTTCCTCCCTGATTTGTAATGGCATCTCTGTTATATATCATGCTTCATATTTGTGAGGGTCTGTTCAGGTTCTCCATTCTCTTCATTGGCCCATCTGTTCTACAGTACAGTCTTTAAAGACAAATAATAACTAGTGAAGAAAAATATTTGGTTTTGAAAATCTTATAGTCATGTTATTAAAAATGGAATGAAGGCTCTAACCAGTTCTTTTGTTTGCAAGACATGGGAACTTACCTGAGTTCAGCAGTAAACTATCAATGCTAAAAGACATGTTTCTGTAAAATATAGGCCTGTTTCTAGTTTCTTTTCTTTGTCAGCACCTTAGCTTATTATCTATATTCCTTTTAAAACATTCTGTGAAGTCTTTTTCACCAATTTTATCTGCCCATAATAATTTTAATCAATTTTACTGTGATTTTGATATTTATACTTTATGGTTTGTATAGTTCTTCCCACACTTAAAGTAATTTAAAAAATATATATCTTTTTAGGGGGTACAAATTTGTGGACTGTACTTACTGCTGAGTAAAAGTTATTAATCTTGTGGTTAGCTTAACCAGGTGCTCTTATTCTGTCCCTTAAGTGAATGTAAATACAGATCATTTCTCTCTCTTTTCTCTAGCTGGTAAGTTTCTTTGGGGTAGGAAGAAGAAGAAAAAATCATGTCACTTAGGACTTTCTGTAGAAATAGCAGTTATTCTTCCTTATCTTCAACCCCCAAAAAATATTTTATCTTGGACACAAATAGCTAGTTAGACATTTTAGGCCAATGTAAATTGAATTATTGTGGAATGTTTATAGTTGTGATAAATAGGTCTAATAATTGCTTAATTGATTAATGATAGCTATGAATTCTTAGATGGTGACTTTTAAATTCTGTTGATACAGTTTTAAATGCATTATGCTGTTTTCTGAAATTCTGCTTTCAATTAACATTCAATTTTAGGCCCAGAAGCCTTACTTGGTACAACGGAGAGGAGCTGAATTTGCCTTGACAACTATAGTAAAGCATTTTGGTGATGAAATGGCAGTGAAGTTACCACATCTCTGGGATGCTATGGTTGGCCCATTGAAGAATACAATTGACATAAATAATTTTGGTATAACATTTTTTTGAGTTCAGTTTTTAACAAATTTCAGTGTATATTAAATATATCCTTATGAAATTAAAAATACCTATCTATCCCAGACCAACTGGCTAGTTTTGAAATGGAAGGTTGGTTTAAAAAAAAAAAATATATATATATACACACACACACACACACACATATATATATATTTATTTTCATGTTATTTGGTATATTTTTTTGCTTTTTATTTTTTCTATTATGTGTTTAAAAAGAGATTTGGACAGGTGCCGTAGCTTGTGCCTATAATACTGGCACACTGGGAGGCCAAGGAGGGAGGATCACTTGAGGCCAGGAGTTTGAGAGCCACCTAGGCTACATAGCAAGACCCGGTCTCTGTAAAAAATTAAAAAAAAAAAAAAGCTGGGCATGGTGGCTAAAGTAGAAAGATCACTTGAGCCAAGGAGTTTGAGGCTGCAGTGAGCTGTGATTGTGCCACTGCACCAGACTGGGTGATGGAACAAGACCCTATTTCTAGAAAAATTAAGTACATACAAAGAATAAAAAGATATTTGAAATAGATCATTATGTTAAACTTCTTTTGTTAAGTGCAGTACCCTAGCACTTAAATTAAGGTCATGGCATTTAATTTAACATTAAAAAGTAAGGCTGGCACGGTAGCTCATGCTTGTAATCCTAGTACTCTGGAAGGCTGAGGCAGGAGGATCCCTTGAGGTCAGAGTTTAAGACCAGCCTGAGGGAGAGTGATACACCCCGTCTCTAATAAAAATAGAAAAAATTAGCCAGGCGTGGTGGTGTGTGCCTGGAGTCCCAGCTACTCAGGAAACTGAGGCAAGAGGATCACTTAAGCCCAGGAGTTTGAGGTTGTAGTGAGCTATGAATGAAGCCACTGCACTCTACCCAGGGTGACAGAGTCTTGCTCTATCTAAAAAAAAAAAAAAAAAGGTAAAATTGACTCTCCTATGCTAGCTGGGGAGGCATTAAAAATTTTTGTGGCTCTGTAGCTTGAAAAATTATTTGCAAGATGATACAAACTTAAAACAATATATTTTAATAGATGGAAAGTCCCTCCTGGACAAGGGAGATGGCCCTGCTCAAGAATTGGTGAATTCTCTGCAAGTTTTTGAAACAGCAGCAGCTTCAATGGATTCCGAGCTTCATCCCTTGGTAACTAATTTGTGCAAGTGTAGCGTTTCTTCAAATAAAACAAGTGATCTTAAGGTTTGAAAAGTGCAACTTTGATGTCATGCCTAGTAATTGCTTTTTTCTTTCATGGTATACTAAACTAGATTCCTCCTTTACTGACAGTGCAACTCTTGTGGGCTTTGAGGTAAAGCTAAAGTTGAGTGCATGAATGATAGAAAACCCAATCTGGAAGCTTAACATATGGGGCAGTGGGGAAAAGGACTCTGATGACACAGAACCCAGGTATAAACAAGAAGAAAGTTGCAGCCCTGCTCATCCAGACCATCCTAATAATGTAGCACCAAGAAAGGAAGAGCACACATAATAAAACTTGTTTTCTAGATAAATATAGAGTTAGAAGGAAGTCACTTACCTAAGATGAAACTGGTCAGTGACATAAATAGAACACTGGTTTGTAATATTTTTTTTATTATTAAAATATTTCTTGGGACTAAAAATATATAGAAAAAATTAGCCGGGAATGGTGGCGCATGCCTTTAGTCCCAGTTACTCGGGAGGCTGAAGCAGAAGGATTGCTTAAGCCCAAGAATTTGAGGTTGCTGTGAGCTAGGCTGCCTCCAGGGCACTCTAGCCCAACCAACAGAGCAAGACTCTGTCTCAAAAAAATATGTATTTCTTAAAGGAATTAGGACAGAGGGAGGAGGAAAATAAACTAGAGAATTAATTATCTGGTTTTTCCATAGAAGACAGTATTATTATTTCCATATATCTATATAAGGAAGAGCTCTACAATGTACAGTGTTATAAAGGGTACTAGCACCAATTCTCCACTGTTACTTAATCTAAAAGGCAGAATCTAGGAGGGAGTAGAGAAGAATGTAGTTTTTCTGTGTGTAAAGTATATCCTTTTTCTGGTTTAAAATTCTGATTTACTATTAGTAGAGAATGATAGAGTACATCTGTATGCTGTTATCCTCCATGATTAACAGTATGCATTCAGCTGAACTGTAGGACTTGTCTGTAGACCAGCTACTTGGCTCTTAGCAACATTAATCCTAGCGTTCCAATTAGCATTTAATAATGAGATGTTATTGTAATGCTTTTGTGATCATAACACCTGTGGTAAGCCATGAAGTTAAAGTGGAAAATACCTACCAAAATAGGATGCTTAGGAAATAATGAGGAACACTCAATCCAATGAATAAAAATTATAAGAGCATAGTGACTCATGCCTGTAATCCTAGTACTTTGGGAGGCTGAGAAGGGAGGATTGCTTGAGGCCAACCTGCGCCATATGTGAGACCCCATCTGTACAAAAATAATAAAAATAAAGAAATTAACCAGGTGTGGTGGTAATCTCAGCCACTCTGGAAGCTAAGGCAGGAGTATTGCTTGAGCCTTGGAGTTTGGGGTTGCAATAAACTATGATGATGCCACTGTACTTTAACCTGGGTGACAGAGTGAGATCATGTCCTTCCCCATCCCACCCCCTAAAGGTACCTAAACCAGTGCTGCCAAATTTGGAGGAGGTTGGTGATGATTAGTACCATTTTCTCAGCCTCAGTAGGAGAATCTTGCAAATATCTTTTGATTTTTCTATTACTTTTAGAAAGAATTTAGTGTTTCTGGATGTCTAAGAGAGGATATAAGCAGGGGAGAAATTCGGCTCCTCTTCTTTTTCCTTTCTTTTTTGAAAGAATTATAATATTAATACCTTAGTTTGGATTTAGATCACTTTTCTGTTGAGGATGTTTTGACAGTAATGTTTTGAAGTATCTGTAGAATCACTTCAAATATTGAGAACTTCCCTGAACATGGGCTGTTTTAGTTACATTTTGAACAGTAAATTGTCTAATGAGAATTCTGATTGCTTTTAACTTTTTGTTTTAGTTGGTACAGCATTTGCCTCATCTTTATATGTGCCTCCAGTACCCCAGCACTGCAGTGAGGCACATGGCTGCTCGTTGTGTAGGCATCATGAGCAAAATAGCTACCATGGAAACAATGAATATTTTTTTGGAGAAGGTTCTTCCATGGCTGGGAGCGATTGATGACAATGTGAAACAAGAAGGAGCAATTGAAGCACTTGCCTGTATCCTTTTTTATTTTGACAAAATATTAGGAAATTGTATTCAGTTTACTTAAAGATGAGTAAAATAAAATTGATTTATTCAATTATGCATATAAATAACCTGACTTGTTCTGAAAGAAAACTTTCTTACATCTTACTTTGGAGTATTTTTATATTTTATTACAAATATACTTACATTTTACTATGAAAATTTTCACAAGGAAAGTTTGAAGAATTACTTTAAGAGATCTTTTTAGTAGGTAAAATAGTTTTATGTACTTTATGAACTATATTTACTAACCAATCTGCTTATTTGACTTATAATCAATGTTTTATTAATATTAAGTACTATGTATGTAGTCCCGGTGTTATAAACATTATGTTTCCAAAGTTTGTTCATTACTTGGGTGAAAAATGACCAAAATGTACTAGATAATTAGAAATATACACAGTCAAGCTCTTTGCTAAGGGTATGGCAGCAACTGACATTCTTTAACTTGACGACGTATCTGAAAGATACTTCTCAGATCGAGAAAGATGGATGAAGATCAAATCAGTAGAAACTCTGGTTCAAAAATGCTGAAGATTACAGGAGAACTGCGCTTACTAGGCCCACTATATCCAGTTGGTGATTGTCAAGATCCCGGTGGGAAATTTGAAATTAATTTTCAAGTGACACTGAGTTGTGCTCCCTTACTTACAATGTGATTTCCTTTTATTTTGACGTTTGAATTCTAGAACCTTGTAGGAATTTTTATACCCTCGCCCAAAAAAAATCTTATTAGTAAAACTTCCTCCAGGCGGTATCCTGGCACTATGGGAATCTTGCATGATACTACTATACCAGCAGTGCTGATGTAATCCTAGCACTCTGGGAGGCGGAGGCCAGTAGATCACTCAAGGTCAGGAGTTCGAAACCAGCCTGAGCAAGAGTGAGACACTATCTCTACTATAAATAGAAAGAAATTAATTGGCCAACTAAAAATATATATGGAGAAAAAATTAGCCAGGCATGGTGGCACATGCCTGTAGTCCCAGCTACCCAGGAGGCTGAGCCAGAAGGATTGCTTGAGCCCAGGAGATTGAGGTTGCTGTGAGCTAGGCTGATGCCACGGCACTCTAGCCCGGGCAACAGAGTGAGACTGTGTCTCAAAAAAAAAAAAAAAAAAATTCCTCCAACCTTTCTCAGACAAAAAACATAATTTTATATTCTTAATCACTAGAAAGTTATATGATATTTTGAAAGGAACAACAAAGTGTGCAAATGCTGTTGTAATTGAATCTTAGGCCTTGAAGATCAGTCTATTCCCTCATAATGAGGCATCTTTTTAAAAGTTAACAATCTTGGTACATGAATTTTTTTGTGAAAACATCTCGTTTTGAAATTTCCTTAATCACTTACTTAGGTGTAATGGAACAACTAGACGTTGGCACTGTTCCATATATTGTCCTTTTAGTTGTTCCTGTTTTGGGAAGAATGAGTGATCAGACAGACAGTGTAAGATTTATGGCTACGCAGTGTTTTGCAACACTAATTAGGCTTATGCCTCTTGAGGTAAGTTGAAGATACTTGGTTTATAGACTTAATATTTTCTGTAACTCTATCCATAATAATTGTAACCCTTTTTACGAATATATCAGGGTTTTTTTAAAAAGCATTATTTCAGAAATATTTATAAACGTTAAGATTTTATACTTTAATAGGTACTTTAAAAAAAAGAGGGTTTTAATTTAAGTAAAACAAAAAATCAGACACTATGGTTCCTGAAAGAATGATAATTCATTGATGCTCTTTTAGAAATAGAATTGTTGCTGAGTTTCTCTGGTAGCATCTAGGTAAAGATTCTGGGCTGAAATTTGTATGAAAGATACATTTTAGAGATGGTAATTAAAACTGTAAAAAGGAAATAAAGTCTGTGTGGGAGTATGAAGCAAGAAGACTAAAAGAGTGATGTTGGAGAATTTTGGAGTACATTCGTAAATGATGTGTGGCCAGTGTTGGAAATAGAAGTGTCTTTAAGCAAGGGAAGAGCCAGGATCCTGTCACTGAGCTGCTTATAATATTTTGATGGGATTTATGTAATTTAAGAAATAGTAGATATGCACATTATCCATGTGTATCATGTATGAGTATTTCCTTTATATTGCTGAATAGTATTCCATTGTATGGACATAATACATTTTGTTTATCCATTCACCAGTTGATTTATATTTGGATTGTTACCAGTTTAGCTATTATGAAAAATGCTACTATGAATATGCATTTTATAATTCTTTGTGTGGATGTACCTTTTTATTTCTTTTGAGTAAGTACTTAGGAAGAAATTGCTAGGTCATATGGTAAGTTTGTTAACTTTTTAAGAAACTACCAAACTGTTTCCCAGAATAACTATCATTTTACATTCCTACCAGCAAAGTATGAGTAGAAATTGGATAACCTCTTTGAAAAAAAGTTTGACTGTGCCTGGTAAAGTTGAAGATACCCATCCTAATAACCTCTCAAATCCATTCTATGTATATACATACCCTAGAGAAACTCAACACATGTAGCAAGACATATTTTCAAGAATATTTATTACAACAATAAAAGTCAGTCAAATGATTACCTCTAGGGGAAAGGATAGGAGGCTATGATTGGGAAGGAGCATGTGGAATCTTCTAGGGTGATGGCAGAGCTATTTTTCTTGATCTGGTTTTATAATTTTTTTTTTTTTTTTTTTTTTTTGAGACAGAGTCTCGCTTTGTTGCCCAGGCTAGAGTGAGTGCCGTGGTGTCAGCCTAGCTCACAGCAACCTCAAACTCCTGGGCTCAAGCGATCCTTCTGTCTCAGCCTCCCAAGTAGCTGGGACTACAGGCATGTGCCACCAAGCCCGGCTAATTTTTTCTATATATATTAGTTGGCCAATTAGTTTCTTTCTATTTATAGTAGAGACGGGGTCTCGCTCTTGCTCAGGCTGGTTTCGAACTCCTGACCTCGAGCAATCCGCCCGCCTCGGCCTCCCAGAGAGCTAGGATTACAGGCGTGGTTTTATAATTTTTTTAACTGCTCATTTTTTCTATATTTCTTTGCATGTATATTTTATTTCACATGAAAAAGTGTTAATATAACCACCATCACAACAAAAACAGATAACAGACTTTGGTGTCATTTCCAGAATTTTTTCCATCCTCTGTTTCCTAGATCTTATTCAAATTCTTTTTAACTCCTGGGCTTTGCATTATAGTACCTGTAAACTAATGGGTTGTACTTAGTTCCCTTGGCTCTTATTTAGCTTTGAAATGAATAGCAATGGAAAGGCAGTATGTGTTCCTTAAGCAAAGGAAATGATGAAAGCAGTTTTAAGAAAATCAATTTAATAGCTGCTTGAATGTGGATTGAAATTGCTGTAGGACAGAGCCCAGATATACTGTGAGGTGATAAAGGGTCTAAACTACAAGGCTAGCAATAAGCTTTTGGGGTTGTTTTTTTGTTGTTGCTGTTTGTTTGTTTGTTCAGGGAGAATAACAGTAATTAACAGATTGACAAAGAGAAGAGATTTTCAACTTTAAATATTGAGAAAAGATTAGTAAGGCTCACATTGATAGATGTGAAAATTATGAGAATATGATACAGATTTTGCTTCTGGCCATGATGGAAAACCAGGGACCAGATTTTTCCTCTGACCTTAACTAGACAACCAGACAAAATGTATCAAACAATGGTTTTCAGACATCAGAAAGTAGTCAACACTGGATAGTGATCCATGAGAGGAGGGAAACAAATGAAGTGCTTTTTTAGCTTATTGCGTGGAGCAAGTTTCTAAGCCATAGTATAGACAAGGGAAACCCGAAGAGAGCTCAAGAAGTAGTCTTGCTGTGTTGAATAGTCAGAGTTGGAGGAAGAGAGGATGGCTAGAATTTGCAAGAATAGTACCTGAGAGGAGATAACTGCACAGAGAGAAAGCTCCAGAGGTCCACAGAGGGATTTCCTCAAGTATTTGGCTGAGTATTCATCTGCATGTATGTATAAAAAAGCTTTTGAGGGTGGGGAAAGAATCACTGGAATGGAATAGGTGAGCTCACACAGGGTCAGGAATAGTTTGTACAAGACTTTCTACCATATAGAGTATCAAGTATTTTCCTTAGAAGCATATTACCTCAGTAATGGGGCCAAATTATCACTTGACAAAAGGCTGATTTGAACCTACCTCGACAAACTTGAAAGAAAGCCTTAAAAGGATCTAATTAATTTCAACTAACTTAACTTCCCAGAGAAAAAGGCCCAAAATATATAATGGAATATATGTTTTTTAAAAAACATCCAGTACCCAACCACATAAAACTTATGATGTTTGACATCCACCAAAAAATTTCTGGGCATGAAAATATGTCCAATAACCAGAAGAAAAATCAGTTAATGGAAATAGACCCTGAAATGACCCAGATAATAGAATTAGTAGACAAGGACATTAAAACATACTTCTGAATGTTCAAGAAAATAGAGGAAAGCATGAGTGTGATGAGGAGCAAAATAGAGGATATAAGAATGACCCAGACTCTGTCTCAAAAAAAACCCAAGTTGAAATTGTAGAAATGAAAAATACAATTATAAATAAAAATACTGGATTTAACTAATAGCAGATTAAACACTGTGGAAGAAAATATTATTGTATTTGAAGACAAAGCAATAGAAACCAGAATGTCATGTAAGTTCATTCCTGTTCCTCTTTATCTTTATGATCTTTGTTAAGTCTTCATAGGAAAAATCATGTACTTTTCTGAAATATATACTATCAAGGAATCAGGGAATATCAACCAGGGATTTTGATATAAGCTCTAATTTCCTGCACTATTATTAGTAACTTTTGCTGAATTTTATGGGAATCAGCAAAGGAGACACTCACAAAGGGCTTCCTGGTATAAACAATATTTATGACTCTTGGGTTTAGGGTTGCATTGTTAGGGAATGGACCTAGTTATATAGCCATATGTCTTGTCATTTCTTAAAAGTTGCATGAAGATAAATATATGAAGATTTTGCCTGTAATCCCAGCACTCTGGGAGGCTGAGGTGGGAGGATTGCTTCAGCTCAGGAGTTTGAGATCAGCCTGAACAAGAGCAAGACCCCTGTCTCTACTAAAAAATAGAAGAAATTAGCCAGACAAATAAAAATCTAGATAGAAAAAATTAGCTGGGCATGGTGGCGCATGGTTGTAGTCCCAGCTACTTGGAAGGCTGAGGCAAGAAAATTGCTTGAACCCGGGAGTTTGAGGTTCCTGTGAGCTGGGCTAACACCCCAGCACTCTGGCCCGGGCAACAGAGCAAGACTCTGTCTCAAAAAAAAAAAAAAACACCAAAGAGTTTCTGTTTATGATATTTTCTGTAATAGAAATTGAAACTGGAAAATTTTTAAAGCATTCATTTAAATAACAAGCCCATTACATATTATAATTAGTTTTTTCAATAAAAACTATTTTCTAAAACAATAAATTAGAAGAGTGGCATTGTTTTATATTTTTGCAAATCTCTTAGGTCTGGTTTAATGGTAGAGAGCTGGAGTCTTGTATTTGCTTGGGCATTTAATCTGTTGCAATATGTTGTTTTGGTTGAGGTATATGAAAAAAGTCCAGCCTCATAGAGATTAGGTAGTGAGAAAAGGGAGCAGTATTTTGACAGCCTTCTCAAATAATTGTGGATAGTCTTTTATCTGATAGCATACCAAAACTTGAAAAAAGAGTTTATTGAGTGCAATGTAGAATCTAAAATCCTATCAATGAACATTTCATACTCTCCTTCTCTCTTTTATACTCTCTTAAAATTCATTGGTTTGTCTTATAATTTTAAATGGATCTTTTACCCATGTTTTATAACATTATACATGGGTCATTTGGAAAATATTGGTTCACTGAGTTAAATAAATCTTCCATAGGTGTAACATTTCATTATATAATATTTTTTTAAATGTTTGTTAATTTCACCAGCAAAAGTTCTTTTAATTGGGAAGCTGTCAATTTCTCTTAAAAACTTGAATTTTATCACTAGCACCAAGTGATGTCTGTTGTTTTCCTTGAGGTGACACGTTTAGTTTTGAAAAAAATTTCAGCCATATACCAGTCAGAATAACCATAGTTTTCCAGTCCTTTCAAATAAAATGTTATTTCAGAAAAAGTAGCTGTGTTAATGTACTTTCTGTCTCCTGGGCCAAATATGTGTAAAGAGGATAAGTATCGTCTGATGTTTCCAAGTTTAGGAATCATAAATCTTTTAAGAATATGATAAATAAGGCCGTGCGAGGTGGCTCACACCTGTGATCCTAACACTCTGGGAGGCTGAGGCGGGCGGATTGCTCAAGGTCAGGAGTTCAAAGCCAGCCTGAGCAAGAGCGAGACCCCGTCTCTACTATAAATAGAAAGAAATCAATTGGCCAACTAATATATATAGAAAAAATTAGCCGGGCATGGTGGCGCATGCCTGTAGTCCCAGCTACTCGAGAGGCTGAGGCAGCAGGATTGCATGAGCCCAGGAGTTTGAGGTTGCTGTGAGCTAGGCTGATGCCATGGCACTCACTCTAGCCTGGGCAACAAAGCGAGACTCTGTCTCAAAAAAAAAAAAAAGAATATGATAAATCAGCCAATGAAGGGCCATAAAGTTGGATACATCCAGGATGGATATATAAACACTACAGAGTTTGTCAAGGAAATTTTTGGAGTATTGAAGACTAGATTTTTTTTTTTTAATGGCCAGTTCAGCTCAAATTTTAAACAATCTTATAAGTGCTTTTCCTCAATATATTGTACTTTGACAAACAGCATGAGTGCTTTATATGTACTTCATATTTAGCGTCACAGAATGTTAAAAAGATTTGCACTTAAGGATTGAGATTTAATAAAATTAATCATTTTTACTGCTTTATCAAGGACATTCTTAAGTAAAACTGGCTGTTTGAAAAAAATGCATGGCTGTGAGGAATACAATGGCTACTAGTACATTGTGGTGCCATTGCCTTCTTTCAGAGGCACATAACTTTTGTACCGTTGATGCAGATGTCACTACACTGAAAAAAGCAAATAATGTTTTCCTTTTACTATACATGAAATAATTGAGAAGGTCTTGGGGCTCCATAGGGGCCCTGCAGACCACATTTTGAGACCCAATACCTTTCTGTATCAGAACACTAAAATTGGCAAGCACTAGTAACAGCATTTAATTTAAAATAAACTATCCAACTTTATTTGCCTTTTTATCAAATAATGTATGATGTGGGAAAATTAAGTTGTAGCTTATGATCTTTAAAATATCTCAAATGTGTTTACTTACTAGTCTAACTGTAGCACTTTCAATATTTGTCCAATTCTTTAAACTTGTTTGTCTTCAAGTTTCTAAAAGTATACAATTTTTGGATTTCTTTTTTCTGTGTATTTTTGTTTTGATAAGACTTGAAATTATTTTATATATCTGTGGATAAAAAAATTGGGAGTAGTTTTAAAACACCTTTAAATCATTTTAGGCAGGCATTCCAGATCCCCCAAATATGTCAGAAGAATTAATCCAATTGAAAGCGAAGGAGCGACACTTTTTGGAGCAATTGTTAGATGGGAAAAAGTTGGAAAATTATAAAATTCCAGTACCAATCAATGCTGAACTCAGAAAATATCAGCAGGTAAGTTTTATACTTAGCTTATAAATATGAATAGTGATTTCTCCTTTCAGATATACCTTGAAGAATTTTAAAAATTGATTTAGGGCTGGATGCAGTGGCTCACACCTATAATTCCAGCACTGTGAGAGGCCAAGGCAAGAGGATCTCTTGAGGCCAGGGGTTCAAGACTAGCCTGGGCAACATAGTAGGATCTGAGTTTCTACAAAAAATTTAAAAATTAGCTTTGTGGCATGGTGGCACATGCCTGTAGTCTCCACTCCTAGGAAGGCTGAGGTGAGAGGATTTCATGAGCCCACGAGGTTGAGGCTGCAGTGAGCTATGATTTCACCACTGCACTCTATCCTGGGCAACAGGGAGACTCCATCTCTTAAAAAAAAAAAAAAAAAACAGATTTAGTAAAACCTTGTGTTTGGTGTTTTATACCCATTTATTTCTTTTTGCCTGTATAAAGATTTTTGGTCTGTGCAAACATGTTTTTTATAAGAAAATTTTCGTGATCTGTTCATGTGTATCATTTTTCTCTTTCTCCCCAACTTTACAGGATGGTGTGAACTGGTTAGCATTTCTTAATAAGTATAAACTTCATGGAATTCTGTGTGATGACATGGGTTTAGGGAAAACTTTACAGTCCATCTGCATCCTAGCAGGAGATCATTGCCACAGGTAATTAAAAATGTTATTTTAAAATAAGGTTTCCAGGTTCTGAGAAATGTAAACAAGCTGTTTAATTTATTGTGTTTTGCTGTTATAAAGGGCCCAGGAATATGCAAGATCAAAATTGGCAGAATGTATGCCACTTCCTTCTTTGGTGGTTTGTCCACCAACGTTAACAGGTCATTGGGTGGATGAAGTGGGTAAATTTTGCTCCAGAGAATATCTCAATCCATTACACTATACTGGGCCTCCTACTGAACGAATAAGGTAAGAACTACACAACAACAACAAAATGTTTAATCTTTTGTCTTAAATAGTTTGGAAGAATAAAATGTATTAAAAACAAATTCTAATTAGCTGCTTTGGTTGTAAGACATAGAAACTTATTCAACTTATTTAAGAAAAGTGAGTATACTTTGGAAAGATATAATCAGTGACACATATCAGATGTCAGGATCTTTAGCAGTTGTACAATCAGTTGGGCTCTCTAAGTGTTGGAGCTGGGAAATTAATCAGGAACCAAAGTCATTCTGTGTGCTCCTTTTGGGAGCCTGTAACTATAGCATCTCCTTGGTGCTTCTGTTGTAGTCTCATTCTCTACCCACTTCCCTGAGTTTTTCTTTGAGCCCTTCATGGTAACACGTAGCTGCAATTCCAGCTACTCAGGAGGCTGAGGCAGGAGGATTGCTGGAGCCCAAGAGTTTTGAGTCCAGCCTAGACAACATAGTGAGCCCCCTACCTCCTGTCTCTTTAAAAAAAAAAAAAAAAAAAAAGTATTTCCCTTTACTCTGCTTCCCTTCTCTTTCCCTCTCCCCAAAAGTACTTTTAGTTCACAATGGCTGCTGTAGCTGCCCTGCTGTCATGGCAGCACTAGAGTTCTTTTAGCCTTACCTGTTAATTAGTATATTTCTTATATTCCTAACTATAGATTTGGAACAGCAGAAGCTCATTGATTTTAGTTTATTTTTCAAAGATTGGATAGTCAGGCCGGGCGCTCACACCTGTAATCCTAGCACTCTGGGCGGCTGAGGCAGGAGGATTGCTCAAGATCAGGAGTTCAAAACCAGCCTGAGCAAGAGTGAGACCTTGTCTCTACTAAAAATAGAAAGAAATTAATTGGACAGCTAAAAATATATAGAGAAGGAATTAGCTGGGCATGATGGCACATGCCTGTAGTCCCAGCTACTCGGGAGGCTGTGGCAGGAGGATTGCTTGAGCCCAGGAGTTTGAGGTTCTGTGATCTAGGCTGACACCCCGACACTCTAGCCTGGGCAACAGAGTGATACTCTGTCTCAAAACAAAAAGATTGGATAGTCATAGGTTAGTCCATAGATTTGCTGCACATCTGTATTAATACAGATATAATAATATTAACTATTATTAAATGTTATTAAAATTTTTAGTTTTAGTATTAGCACTTACTGGCTAGGCACTATTCTAAGAAGTTTTAAATTATTATAAAATTGTGTATTCTCAGTCATACCTTATGAGGTATGAGTATTGTTATTTCAATTTTGAGATAAGCAGTCTAAAGCATGGGGCCTGGGTCCAAGGTCACTCAGCCAATAAGTGGGCAAGATGAGGGTTTGAATGCAGGTAGCTCATAAGCTTGCCCCCCCCCCTTTTTTTAAGGTATGGAGTCTCACTCTGTCACCCAGGCTGCAATGCAGCAACATAGTCATATAGCTCACTGCAGCCTTGAATTCCTGGGCTCAGTGATCCTTTTGCCTCAGCCTCCCAAGGAGCTGAGATTATAGGTGCAAGCTACCACACCCAGCAAAAGCTTATACTCTTGAGCAGTTTGCCAGAGTGCCTCTTAGTTAGAATTCATTAATTTGTAAGTGATAGAAATTCAACTCAAACTAGCTTAAGCAAACAAGAAATTCATTATATACTTTCTTGAGAATTTCAGACATGGATTTTTGCTTCACACACATTCACTCTTCCTCCCCATACATAACTTATTGTATAGGTCTCTACTGAACTTCATCTACAGTTGGTAAATAAGATGACCATGGGTAGTCCCAGGCCTGCATTCTCCTAGCTTGGCAACTATAGTAAACAGATCTTCTCTCCCCAATCATGAATATATCAATACTGAAGATAACTGGCTGTCCTCGTTTGTGCCATGCCCCTAAACCAGCCTTTGTGATCAGGGGATAAGATATTGTATTGTGAATACCTCAGTCTAGTTCAAATGCTTCATCTCTGATGATTATGGGGACATATAATTGACAGTTCATCCCACTTCTGTGCTCCCTAAAACAACATGGGGGGTAGGTAAAGGAATAGTGCTCCCAAGGGAAAGATATTGGCAAATAGAGTTAAAATGTCCACCACATTTTCAGTCTTGTGCTCATCTCTTTTCTGATCAGACTGAGTAAGGCAACATGGCCAAATCATGAGAGGAGTGGCCTTTCAACTAGAAGGGTCATGCATATAGAGTAAGCAGAAGGGAATGCTGGGCTTAGGAGGTGTATTGAAAGCATCTTATACAATGGTAGCTATAGTTTCACCTTTAAAATTGTGTTAAAAACTTTTCAGAGTCTCTGTTTCCAATTTTATTTATTTTTTAAATAAAGGTTACAGCACCAAGTAAAAAGGCACAATCTGATAGTGGCTTCATATGATGTTGTGAGGAATGACATAGATTTCTTTAGGTAAGAATTAAAATTTTTTTCTTTAGAAAAACTTAAATTTGAAGTGTCTTAATATCTTCCTACTTTAAAGATTCTTCATAGAGTTCTGATATATAGTAAAGGATACTGAAATTTTCTATTTATTCTCCCTTAGAAATATTAAATTTAACTACTGTATTCTTGATGAAGGCCATGTCATCAAAAATGGAAAAACAAAATTGTCAAAAGCAGTAAAACAACTGACTGCTAATTATAGGATTATTCTTTCTGGAACACCAATCCAGGTAATTATTTACTATTCCCTTTTTTTTTTTTTAAATATTTGCCAGGTAGAGAGTAGGTTTGGCATTTGGCGGTGAATTAGAGTTTTCTTTAGTTTATAGAGATGATAATTTTCTAGTAATCATGTTGCTTGTTTAATGGTTCATTTGGCATATAGCAGTATCTGTATATATACTGTATATATACAGTATATATATGTGTATATATATACACACAGTATATACAGTCTGTATATATACAGTATAACAGACCATGTTTTAAAAGTCATAATTAGCTGGGGGCAATGGCACATGCCTATAGTCTCAGCTACTTGAGAGGCTGAGAAAAGGATCACTGAGCCCAGGAGTTCAAGGCTATGGTGTGCTGTCATCATACCTGTGAATAGCCACTATGCTCCAGCCTGAGCAACATAGACCCTGTGTCTAATAAATAAAATTTTAAAAATTAAGTCATATTTAAAATATAATTTTAGGCTATGTAAATAGAAGTCTTGTGTCTAAAGTATGAAAGATGTAAGTCAGACTCTAATCCACACTGGTCATTCTCCTTTTGTAGTGATATGCCGCAATCTAATTTAACATTGAAAAGCTAGAGTAGAGGTGAATCATCATATAGTACATGTGTGAATACCAGATATCAGGAGGAAGTTGAAGGGACATGATTATAGAGTTTATCTTAGAAAAAGGAAGGATATGGGTAGTATGTAGATATCTTCAGATGCTTTTGAAAGATTTTGTTGTCATCCAGAGGAATTAGTTGCAAATGTTCACGTTTAACTTGGATAGCAAACTCTGGTAGGAAGATGCTCCCCTCAGTCATTCTCCAGTTAGTGGAGGAGTAAATGCCAAGTGACCACCAAGATTCCTTCCAACTCTAAAAAAAAATTGGTGGTTCTTCATTTATGTACTTATTTTTCTTTTAAATTTATTTTTGGTGATGGACTGATTATTATAAGGGTTAGTGTTTTGTCCATTAAGTGAGCTCTGTGGATTTTAGTAACCACAAGAGATAAACTTAATTATAAGCTTTTCTAAATTTATGAAAAAAATTTTAAAGTATTTTTAGAAGTGAAAAAGCCTATTTAGACTTGAATTATCAAGATTTATTATGCTTCAATTTAAAGTTATATGGAAATGTCACAGTAATTTAAAATAGGTTATTGCTTTTAATTGGTTCAGACATCAAAAGAAGTTTTTTGGTTTTTATTTGTGGGCTTAAAGGCACTTCTTTTTCCCCCTACCTGAGTAATTTGGCTATAAAGCCATAAGGTAGCTTTTTAAACTGCAATGCCATGGGGACCCAGTGTCAGGGGGCAGAGCCTGAGTAAGATTAGAAGAGCATCTGAATGGGAGGACGGCCCAACATGCTGCGCTGGAGCCAGGGTGAGGAGGGCTTCTGGAAAGGGAGCTGGGGAAGCAGCATGTGCCTTAGGACACCTATGGGGAAAGGTTATCCAAAATGAAAAGGTGCTGATTTCTTTTTCTTTTTTTCCATTAAACTTTACCTGTAGAATTGGAAAGAATCTGTGCCTTTGCCTTAGGACTCATAAATACTGGGAGGACTTATAACCAAACTCCTCGAGGTTTTTTATTGGTGGTGAAGGTAGTGATAGTGGCTAAATTCCTTAAATCTTGCTATTAATTTGAAGGTCAAAGATAAAAGAATCAGGAACTTATCTTTCTGCTCTTCTATTTACTACTTCATATATGCCAACAATAGGGTATAACACTGTAGACCAAGATTTATTCTGGTGGTGGAGACTTGAGGATTTCCCCCAAATAAGATTGAATATTTTCTCCAAGGATACCGACCTTAATTTTACCCATTAAAATGAAGACTCAAACCATATACCTAAAAATGTAGTGATAATCTTCATCCATTTTATCATAATAGGCTTACATTAATGTTCCATTTTTTAAGCATAAGGAAATAACCCCAGTAGAGATAATTGGTGTTCCTTTTTTATATTCAGAACAACGTTTTGGAGCTGTGGTCATTATTTGATTTCCTCATGCCAGGATTTTTGGGTACTGAACGCCAGTTTGCTGCTCGATATGGTAAACCTATATTAGCAAGTAGGGATGCTCGAAGCTCCAGTCGAGAACAAGAAGCAGGTATGAAAAGATAATTATAAACCTTGTGTAAATGACTTAATTTATCCCTAATGTTTTTCAAGCCATTTTCTCTTACTATTAACAGGTGTTCTTGCTATGGATGCCCTGCACCGCCAAGTCCTGCCATTTCTTTTGAGAAGAATGAAAGAAGATGTTCTGCAGGATCTCCCACCTAAAATTATTCAAGACTATTATTGTACTCTCAGTCCCCTTCAGGTTAGGAGTGTGGGTTTTGGTGATATGTTTATTAGCAGAATGTCTTGTGAGGTTTTTTTGTTGGTGATGGTGGGGGTTTTGGGGGGTTAGGGGGGAAGGGAAGACAGAGTCTTGCTTTGTTGCCCTGGGTAAAGTGCAGTGGTGTCATCATAGCTCACTGCAACCTCAAACTCCTGGGCTGAAGCAATCCTCCTGCCTCATCCTCTCAAGTAGCTGGGACTACAAGCATGTGCCAGCATACCTGGCTAATATTTCTATTTTTTATAGAGATGGGGGTCTTGCTGTTGCCAAGGCTGGTCTTGAACTCCTGGCCTCAAGCAGTCCTTCGGCCTCGGCCTCCCAGAGTGCTAGGATTACAGGCGTGAGCCACTGCGCCCAGGCTATTTTCTTATATGTCCATTATAGTTAATTTGAAAGGTCACAAAGTTAAATTGATGAAGAAATAAGTAAATATTTATAAAGGCCAAAGATCTGCCTCTGAATGTTGTCATATTCTTACAACAACATTATAGGTAGTGTTAATACCCATTTTTGCAAATTAAAGTGATGCTTAGAAAAGTTAAGTAGCTTGCCTATGGTTGTAGAGCTAATAGACAGTCATGCATCTCTTAACAATGAGGATGAAACGCATCAGATGATTTTGTCATTGTGTGAACATTGTGGAGTGTATATACACAAGCCTAGATGGTATAGCCTACTCCATACCTAGGTTGTATGATATGGTCTATTGCTCTTAAGCTATAACCCTATATAGCATGTTACTCTGCTGAATACTGTAGGCAATTATAACACAGTGGTTAAGTGTTTGTGTATCTAAACATATAAAAAGTATGGTAAAAATGTGCTTTTATAATCGTATGGGACTACTGTCATAAGTACTCTTTCTTTCTTTCTTTCTTTCTTTCTTTCTTTCTTTCTTTCTTTCTTTCTTTCTTTCTTTCTTTCTTTCTTTCTTTCTTTCTTTCTTTCTTTCTTATTTATTTATTTATTTATGACAGAGTCTCACTCTGTTGCCCAGGCTAGAGTGAGTGCCATGGCGTCAGCCTAGCTCACAGCAACCTCACACTCCTGGGCTCAAGCGATCCTGCTGCCTCAGCCTCCCGAGTAGCTGGGACTACAGGCATGCGCCACCATGCCCGGCTAATTTTTTCTACATATATTAGTTGGCCAATTAATTTCTTTGTATTTATAGTAGAGATGGGGTCTCGCTCTTGCTCAGGCTGCTTTCGAACTCCTGGCCTGGAGCAATCCGCCCGCCTCGGCCTCCCAGAGTGCTAGGATTACAGGCGTGAGCCACCGCGCCTGGCCTGTACTCTTTCATTGACCAAAATGTCCTTATGCGATGCATGACTATAAGGGCTGAATTTCAAATGTTGGTCAGTGGTACTTCATTCTCTTTGAAATATTATTGCATTGCCTATAAATGTTCAAAATAAATTTTGCCTTCTGCACAGTTCTCATTTTGTACATAGAGATCATTGAATTTATTGTGAAGTATTTCCTTATACTTTTCTAAGGACATAAATAGAAGAAACTGTCCCTTAGTAAGACATGGCTTCAAAATCAGAATTTTCTGTCTGAATGTTTATTTTATGCTTTAAGTTTGTGTCAGTCTATTTTAATATTAGGAGCTAATTAAATATGGTTAAATGAATAAAAGATACATAACTATACCCAGAAACTTACTTTCCCCCACCCCCTCCAGTGAATAGGTAGTTAACCTGTTAGCCAGTATTAATCTCTTGATCTTTTCAACTTGAGTTTAGTGGGCTAGTTAGTATTCTGGAGGCTGAGAGTTCTGATTCTTCTATACTGTCTACCTCATCTCTTGCTCTCCCATTCCTCTGTTTGCAAAACTTGAATTAATATTTTTTGAATATTTTAGGAATAATGAGATAAAAACTTTTAAAATTAGGTAAAGATGTCATATGAAAAAAATCCATGATGATGATATACTGGTGATGGTGCTATAAGATAGGCATAAAACATATTTAAGTAATCTCAAGGAAGGGAGCACCAAAGGGAAGTGATGTTTTGGCTTTGTTAGCAGTCATAGGTTTTTTGTTTTTTGATTTCTGTTCTTTGGCACTCTGGATTTTCTTCCTTTCATATTATTTTAGCATGTACAAGGCAGGAACCCAGATCCCAAAGTAATACTTTAAACTTGGTATGCATTCCCCTTTTAGGGTAGCAGTAACATTCTTTTAAAATTTGGTACTTTTTTTTTAAATTTTAGCATATTATGGAGGTACAAGTGTTAAGGTTACATATATTGCCCATGCCCCTCTCCCCCCTCGAGTAAGAGCTTCAAATGTGTCCATCCCCCAAATGTTGCACATCTTACTCGTTGTGGTTGTATATACCCATCCTCTCCTCCCCCCTCCCACCCTCCCGACACCCAATAAATGTTACTCTATATGTCCACTTAGATGTTGATCCGTTAATACCAATTTGCTGGTGATTACATGTGGTGCTTACTTTTCCATTCTTGAGACACTCACTTAGTAGAATGGGTTCCAGCTGTATCCAGGAATATACAAGAGGTGCTATATCACCATTGTTAAAGCTACGTAGTACCCCATGGTATACATATACCACATTTTATTAATCCACTCATGAATTAATGGGCACTTGAGTTGTTTCCACAGCTTTGCAATTGTGAATTGTGGTGCTATAAACATTTGAGTGCAGGTGTCTTTTTCATAAAGTGACTTTTGATCTTTTGGGTAGATGCCCAGTAGTGGAATTGCTGAATCAAATGGTAGATTTACTTGTATCGCTTTGAGGTATCCATATTGCTTTCCACAGAAATTGAACTAGTTTGCAGTCCCACCAGCAGTGTAGGAGTGTTCCTTAAAATTTGGTACTTAACAGAGTCTTGATAATATCCCTTCATTTAAGGAAGATATTTTTTTTCCATTTGAGGAAGATTTTCCTCATTTACTTGTAAATGTTCAGGTTCTCCTTTAATTGGTAATGTGTTTATTTTTCTAAACAGTGGAAAAATTGAGTCTAGGACTGTTGACTAGGATTTTTAATATTTTAGCATCCAAACTTAATGTGTTTATACTTGTTTTGTAAATATAATTTTAAAGGAATTTATTAAGATGGAGGGGATAATCTATATTAGCAGTGAATTATAATTTTTTTCATTAATGGGGGCTGATTAAATTTCTGCTCTTATATTGGCCTTTGCTAATTATGTGTTTCGAACAATTGAAAATAAATATACTTACAGCATTCATGGGGACGATTTTACAGGTTCAACTCTATGAAGATTTTGCTAAGTCTCGTGCCAAGTGTGATGTTGATGAAACAGTTTCTTCAGCTGCACTTTCTGAAGAAACTGAAAAACCAAAGCTTAAAGCTACAGGCCATGTATTCCAGGTATAGATTACAGTCTACTTTTTAAATGCTGAAGAATATTTTTAGTGAGACAGTCACTATGTGGAACATTGAAATATGGGTTTATTTAAATTTTTTTCAATGTTATGTATATAGTCATTCTTGAAAAGTTAAAATACCTATCTAATGTTAATTGGTAAGTACTTGTTCAAAATGTAATATATATGTTTCTACATTATATGAAAAGGTTTTTAGAATATGGAATCTTGCTTTTGCATTAAAAAATATTGAAACATTTAACACATGACATTAATTTTTCTAACTTCTGAAGTTACTTAAAGCAGTGAATAATAAAACAGACTCCTTCCATGGTAGAGATGAAAAATAAGTAAAATACATATTATGTTAGGAAAAATAAAGCAGAAAATGAAGTTATAGAGTATTAGAGTCCGAGGTAGGCTGTGGTTTCTTAATAGAGGGGACGAGGACCACTTCACTGAGAAGATAATATTTGAGCAAAGACCTAACAGAGGCATGCAGGTATGTGGGGGGAAATGATTCGAGGCAGAGGATACACAAAGTACAGAAGTCCCAAGACAGATCATGCCTCCTGTGCTTAAGAGAATAGCAAATGAAAAAGAGGTGGCAAGTGTCAACTCACTTCTTAACCACTTCAGTACCAGTGTTGACTATAGTCGATAGCCACAGATGAACGCAAGCGTTGACGTTAGCCGACAGCCATGATATGACTTTTCTAATATTTCATTTATCAAAATAAAATTGTGAACATTTAAAAATAATGTAATGAAAACATATATGTATATGTTACCTATTCTGATTTACATTACAAGTAAAGCTGCCTGTAAAAGTAAAGCCAAGCTTTCAGTGCTTTAAAGCTTTCCTCATCACATGAGAACAGAACAGATTCGTCGTCAATGCACAGCACGAACTATCATGCGGACTATGAGTGCCGGCTGTGGGCAAGGTTTCATGGCCGGTGAGCGCTGTACCGAAGTGGTTAACTTCTTGAAATATTCTACTGTAGAAAACCTCCCACCAATAGATTAAATACTGTAGCATTTTTAAAGAGAAGAGGAAAAGATGGTTGTGAAGACTTATACCTCTCCCAAGATTTTTCCCCCTCAGTTTTTATCATAGTGCTCAATAGTGTCTTGGGCCTTGTCAGTGGGGCTTGCTAATACAAAAACTGTGTGCCAAGGGTGAGAAACAAATCATAAGCCAAGTAAGAAGCAGAAGAGTGGTTGAATCAGAGAAAAGAGACCATGTAGGATTCTATTTTTCAAACACAACCACTTGAGACAATCACCCAATTTCCCCCTCCTTTCCCCCCTCCAGATCTGCTGAATCAGAATACTGTGTAGGAGGGTGAGATTTGCAGGTTGATAAGGTCCTCAAGAAATTTTTATACTCCCTGAAGTTTGAAGTTTCCTTTCAGAAATGATGCCTAGCTCCAGAAGCATCTGTCTGCATTATCAGTCAATTTGGGAAAGGGTTTTAAAGGAACTGATGAATAAGGCACTCATTTTGCCATAAGAAGCATATTGTCTAGTGGGGGATACAGGCATAAACAGTACAGTTTATACAAGTTATAAATATCCTTATAGAAATACATACAAATTACACAGAAATCATAGAGGAGACATTTGAACTGGTTCTTGAAGAATGAGTAGAAGTTTGCTGAGTGAGAACAGGGAGAAAGACATTCTGAACAGAATAGCATAGGAAAAGATACAGAGACAAACATTTGTGGTATGTGAAATGGACTCATGTATATCTTTTTTTTAACCCTCCCTTAAAGGCATTACAGTACTTACGTAAATTGTGCAACCATCCAGCATTAGTCTTAACACCTCAACATCCGGAGTTCAAGAGCACTACTGAAAAACTGGCAATTCAGAATTCTTCTCTTCATGATATTCAGCATGCCCCAAAACTCTCAGCTTTGAAACAGGTATGTATATTTCTTTTAAGTGTTAGATGTGTGTTGCACATTCCTGATATGTAACAGTAGGTAAATTTGCTTTTCCCAAAGATTACTGATGTGTTTATCATTTCTTTAATTTGCTTTGTTAAAATTTTGATACAGCTTTTAAAAAAATTGTGGTAAAATATATATAGCACAAAATATGCCACATTATTTTTAAGTGTACAAATCTGTGGCATTAATTAAATTTATAATGTCATACAACTGTCACCACTCTTTCCAAAATATTTGCATCACTCAAACAGAAACTTTGTACTCATCAAACAATAACTCTCTGTTCTCCCTTCCCCCAGCCCCTGGTAATCTCTACTTTTTATCTCTATGAATTTGTGTCTTCTAAATATTTCATATACGTGGAATCAAAGTATTTGTCCTTTTGTAACTGGCTTATTTTACTTATCATAATGTTTCTAAAGTTCATCCATGTTGCAGCATATATCAGTACTTCATTGCTTTTTATGGCTTAATAGTCCATTGTATAGATATACCACATTTCATTTATCCATTCATGTGTCAGTCAAGACTTGTTTCTACCTTTTTGCTGTTACAAATAATGCTATAGTGAACATTAGCTTAAAAATATCTATTTGAGTCCCTGTTTTTATTTCTTTTGGATATAGACTAAGTAGTGGAACAGCTAGGTCATATGGCAGTTCTATGTTTAACTTTTTCAGGAACTGCCAAACTGTTTTCCATAGTGGCTACATTACATTCCCACCAGCAGTGAACCAGGGTTCCAGTTTCTCCACATCCTTACCAACACATATTTCCCTTTCTTTCTTTTTAATTATTGCTACCCTACTAGGTGTGAAGTGATAACTCATTGTGGATTTGATTTGCTATTCCTAATGACTAATGATGTTGCGCATCTTTTCATGTGCTTATTGGACATTTTTGGATATTTGCATATCTTTGGAAAAATGCCTAGTCAAGTCCTTTGCCTTTTTAAATTTCAAATTGGGGTCTTGCTATGTTGTTCAGGCTTGTCTTGAACTCCTGACCTCAAGCAATCCTCCTGCCTCAGCCTCCCAAAGTTCTAGGGTTATACACATAAGCCACCATTCCTAGCCCCTTTGCTCATTTTTGGTTGGATTATTTGTCTTTTTGTTGAGTTAGAGAAGTTCTTTATATTCTGAATATTAAACCCTTATCAGTTGCATGATTTGCAAATATTTTCTCCCATTCTGTAGGTTGTCCCTTCACTTTCTTGATAATGTCTTCCATAGTGGTGTTCAACAGTTTGATTATAATGTATGTCACTGTGGAGCTCTTTGAGTTTATTTTACTTGGAGCTGCCTCCATTGCCATTTTGCTGATGTCACCCTCTTGGTGTAGCTTTTAAAAATAGAATTTTTAAATTAAAATTTTTTTAATTTAAAAGTTCTAAGATTTCCAAAGGTTAAAAGAACCAATTTTAAGCACTGAAATGTTAGCACAAATGCCATTTCTAACTAGTCTTAAAAATGAAGATCTTACTATAAAATCTAGACTTTACCAGTTGTTTCAGTTCACAGTAGTTATTCTAGGCCAAATTTCATTGAGATTAACTAATGAATGGAGATTTTAAATTTCACATAGATTAGTATGAAAAATGTTATATAATAGTATATCTGACGTATATATTCAGGTATGTATTTATCCTTATATCATTAAACTAAAAGTAATGGACTTTCATATCATTAAATTGAAGAATGACTATTATTAACACCTTTAGATTTGTTTATACATGGAATGGGTTTCTGTTTTGACCAAACTTTGCTATAGGTTTGTATTTAAAATGTTTGTGATTTTCCTAACTTAGCTGATACATTAGATAAAGCTGTAAAATATACTTAGGGAATCAGCTGATTAGATCCATTTTCAAATAAAAATTCAATCTCATCCATATTAGAATTACACTACAAGCTTTTATGGTTTTTTTCCAGCAATTATTAATTAAATTGATCTTTCATTTTAGAGTATACTCCTTGTCACCCTGAAGTATCTGGAATTAAGATGCTTAGGAAGTCTGCAACTTCAAGAGGCCCAGATTACTTCTGGCCATATTCATGGAGGGCTTTTCTAGCAGCCTTCCTTTCCATTTTCTCAGTTCTTTTCACCATTCAGAGTGAAGGTGCTGTTTTGGGAGAGATACATTTCTTTTTTAAATCCAAATATGTGTGTTCTCTGAAGTCGGGAAGAAGTCTTATTTACTTTCTAAAAGTCTATCAGTAGAAACATGTTTATTAGCAGGTGGTGCTGCTGGGAGAAGTATATTGCCCGATCCAGAGTCAAAAATTTCAGGAGGCTGAAATGATGAACTAAAAGTCTAAGTAAAATTTAGTGGAGCTAAGCAGAGTCAATTTTAAAAGAAAACACTTAGGTAAATAAGGAATTTGTGAGACTTGGTAAACATTTTATATGGGGCAAAGTTGAGTTTGAGTTGATGGCAACTTCACTAGAAGCATTGTGTGAATTAGTTGTCAGTAGATAAAACTAATAGGATCTTGGGTGGGATTAAAAACAGTATAATGGCTAAAATGAGGGAATCACAGTTTAACTGTATTTTATACATATGAGACCAAATTTTGAGTATCACTTATAGTTTGGGCAATATGCTTTAAGCAGAAAATCAAAATGTTAAAAGATTTGGAAGCCATTTTATATGAGGATTGAAAAACCTGGGGTAATTTAGCCTATGCTAAAGTTGGGGTAAAATAAAATTGAAATGCTAACTAGAAAGGCAGCTGGCTTTAGACACCCATATTTAGGTGGCCTTGGCAAACATTTTCTAGAGTTTAGTAATCAGTTTTTCAAGGCCCCAAACTAGATTTTGTCAGAGGATACCTGGAGTACTGATGTTATGAGAGATTATTAGGGAAACCAGAAAATTGGTTCTGCTGCCAGACAGGAATACTCAATGTCAAATGATCTGTCCACACATTCACTAGGGTAGCTACACTGGACAAAGATTACATTAGGAAGATTGTCTCATAAACATGGAGTTGGAGAAGTTTCAGTTGGATATTCTTAATATGACTGATTATTTTTCAGGTTTATGATATTGCTACCTAAAGGACTGAGATAATCGAGTGTGCATGGCACAGAATGTTTATCCAGTCCTTATTCTCTGGAACTCCTTCCTATTTTATATGATCTATGTAGAATGTCCCGCTGATGATATCACCTTCTTTATGCTGGGTCCCACACAATCATACTCTCCTGAGACACCCTAGATAGTCAGGACTTTTAAAAAGAAACACTTTAAATCTGATTGCAGATTTGAGGGCAAGAGATAAGGATAATTACATTTATCAGACTTCTTTATTCTGTTTAAAGGAGTGCCTCCCTAGTACATCATATGCCTATTCTAATAAAAATTCAAATTTTAAGGGTTGTTAGGTAGAAGAGTGAGAACATTTGTTCCCTCTCCAGCATCAAATTGTGACAGTACATGTGAAGTGTTGTGTTCCAGGGAAGCTCATTAGAGACTCTGCCCAAGATTTTTATTGGGGGGCTGATCACATATATACCCTCTGCCTATCATGGATCAAAATTCTATATTCCCAAAAAGAAAGCAGGTCTCAGCATAAATCATATTGTTTACACAAGAGTTTAGGCTCAGTAAACCATCCTTATTAGTTAGGGACTGATAGAAAGACTCCCAAAATCCAAGTTCCCAGACATTAGGCAAGCGCCAGCCTTACAAGCAGGACTTTCTAACAAAACAGTGTCATTTTCTGCACATTACCCCAAGGAGTTTGCCTGGTTGACCTTTTGGTTACCTTTCCCATCAGAGCTTTTGGCTTTCTAAGTAAATTCTATTAGTAGAAAAGAGAAAGCATCCTGCATTATTAAGATCTTACATTTTGAGCAGAATTCAGTAGTATCCTTAGGGAGGAAGGGTACTATTGGGTACACTAGGTTTCTGAAGCTGACCTAAACATTATTCACTTGGGTTTTATTCACTCCAATTACATCTGCTGTGTGCAAGGCACTGAACCATGTTAGGAAGAAGTGTAAAAGATCCATAGCAGTGTGGTTCCTGCCATTAAAGATCTTGGTCTGCAGATAAAGTAAGTTAGGAATCCAGACATCTAGCTACATGCTCCTTTTCTGTGATTTTGATAATACCAAATGTGGCTGCTTATGTTTTTTATTCTTTCATAATGCTTCTTTGTCATTAATTTTAACAAACATTTATTGAGGCTCTAGTTAGCCTCAAGGAGCTAAGGAAAAGGGAGAATGATCTTGTTAGATACACTCCTGTAGAGGTGACCAGGGAACTCTAAGCCTGAGCACCTCAAAAACTAGTTCCATATGCTACAAGGTGACAGCAGCCCAAAGTGCTAAGTGCTTTTCAGGTAACTGTAACCTTTTCTTGCTACAGAGAGAAATATTTGTCACAGTGAGATTGTTTATCTATTTTTATTAAATGCATATGTAATGATTTTTACCCTCAAGTTGCTGTTGGACTGTGGTTTGGGAAATGGCAGCACTTCCGAGAGCGGCACAGAGTCTGTTGTGGCACAGCATAGAATACTGATCTTCTGCCAGCTTAAAAGCATGCTTGATATCGTAGAACATGATCTTCTCAAACCTCACCTGCCTTCTGTCACTTATTTGAGATTAGATGGCAGCATACCTCCTGGTCAGAGGCATTCCATTGTTTCTCGGTAAGTGGCTTCTAAAACTCTTGTTATCATAAATTGAGCTATAGTAGATCTATTATTACTTATATAGAAGTTTGCCTCATGAAATATTTTCATTGGCTAATTATCTGCAAATGTCTTCTTATCGTGTAATTCAACCAAAATAAACCTCTTTTTAAACATAGAACTAAAGAAATATAATTGAATAGTTTAGTAAATGAAAAGTGTGACTGTATTAGGAAAGCACTCTGAAGAGCATGAAAGAAATTTAAGGCATCAACAGGCAATAGAGATAACTACTTTTCCCTTACCTTTTTAGGGGGTTAGGGTGAGAGGACGCAAACAAATGGCTTAGGTAAAATCTCTATCCCAGTCCATTTCTCTGATGAGAACAAGTTGGAAGCTGACCCAGCTAGGAAGCAGAACAGTGCAGTGTCTCTTAAATGTGGTCTATAACCTCTGTTTTAAAATTTTCAGAGGTTGCTTTTTAAAAAAATGCAGATTCCTAGGTTTCCCCAACCTGTTGTCTTCAAGAGTGGGCATTTTCAACAAGCATCTCCAAGAGATTGTAAAGCACAACAAAGTTAGAAACCCAGGAAGGGGCTTTGGAAGCAGACAGACCCAGGTTTGACTCTTGACTCTGCTGAAGCAGTATTTTTAAAATAGGGATACTGGTAATACTGTTATAGAGCTGTTGTAACAAATAAAATCATGCATATAAAGAACAAAGTCCATTGCTTGCTTGTCTCATAGTAAGAAAACAGGTGGGTGTGGTGGATCACAACTGTAATCCCAGTGACTCAGGAAGCTGAGGTGGGAGGATTGCTTGAGGCCAGGAGTTTGAGACCAGCCTGGAAAACATAGCAAGACCCCATCTAAAAAAAGAAAAAAAAAAGAATAATAAGTGGTAGATTGCTTTTTTTCTTTTTTTGAGATAAGAGTCTTGCTCTTTCACCCTGCTGAGCCACTGTGCCTGGCCATATTTTTAATGTTAGTAAGAATAATGTTTAAAGCTACTAGATGTCCTTTGGCAATATCTTCTAGGCTTAGTACAGTAGTATAATACTACACTCTCATCTTCTACCTTCTCTGAATGATCTAGGCTGTTCTTCATTCTTCTCTGTCCCCATAAATTTTCAGAGTTGGGTTTTGTCTTAATTGTAATTAGTGTTTAATTATATTTTTGCAGCTTAGTCTCTATCCAGTATCATAAAATACAACTCACTTGGCTTTATTTTTTTCCATTTATGAAATTTCTGACAAGTTTAAAATGTATTCTGTCTACTAAAGATGGTATACATTACTAAAAGAGGATATTTTCATCTGAAGTGGTCACAGAAATTTCCCTATAGTGGATTTTTAAAGCAGTGTTTTCATTTGTGCTCTTTAATTATAGTTTCTGTTATAGGAGGCTTAGAAAGAAATGTACTAATTTTATTTTTCTTATCTATACTTTTAGGTTTAACAATGATCCATCCATAGATGTTCTCTTACTTACAACTCATGTTGGTGGCCTAGGGCTTAACTTGACAGGCGCTGACACGGTGGTATTTGTGGAGCACGACTGGAATCCTATGCGAGATCTACAAGCCATGGACAGGGCCCATCGCATTGGGCAGGTAAAAGTCACCTCTCATAGGTGTTAACCTGTGCACTGGGGAAAATTCTCCCTCAAAAAGATAGGAAGCCTGGGCTCAAGTTCTTGCTCTGGTGTTAACAAGTGTTGTGACTTTGGACAGATTACTTAACTCTTTTGTAGTACCACTTCCTTCAGTGAGGTGCTTGGACCAAGAAACCCTGGGTCACTGTCCATTCCTAATATTCTGTGATTTCTGCAAACATTTTGAGCTCATAGGACCAGACAAAATTAAAATCTAATCTAATTAGGTAGTAGAAAGTACTATACGAGCCCCCTGACTTGCTGAACCACAAAGTTTATCAATTTGTGCTACACTCATTTAACTCTTTTTCTTACTCAGAAACGTGTGGTTAACGTGTACCGATTGATAACCAGAGGAACACTGGAAGAGAAAATAATGGGTTTGCAGAAATTCAAAATGAACATAGCAAATACTGTTATTAGCCAAGAGAATTCTAGTTTGCAGAGTATGGGGACTGATCAACTTCTTGATCTGTTTACTCTTGATAAGGTAAAAAACTTCTATAATTTGTTGTATCTTTAAATTATTAAAGGGACAGCAGAAGGTATTCACTAGTATCCACTAGATAATCCTATGAGGGAATTCTTTTTTTTTTTTTTTTTTTTTGAGACAGTCACTCTGTAAGCCTGGGTAGAGTAGAGTGCAGCGGCATTGTCATTTAATAGCTTACTGCAACCTCAGACTCCTGGGCTCGAGTGATCCTCTTGCCTCAGCCTCCTGAGTAGCTGGGACTATAGGTAAACACCACTATGACCAGCTAATTTTTCTGTTTTTAGTAAAGACAGAGTCTCACCTTTGCTCAGGCTGGTCTCAAACTCCTGAGCTGAAGCAATCCTCCTTCCTTGGCCTCCCAGAGTGCTAGAATTATAGGCGTGAGCCACCACGCCAGGCCAGCGAGGGAATTCTTGGTGCCCATATAAACCTCAAGCATACTAGGGAGTGTGTGAAGTTTTCATTTTTTTTTTTTTTTGGTTGATGTCTACAGTGTCTTGCTTAAAGGTTTCTTTCCTTAGTCCTTTCCTGCTAAAGGACAGTTTATCACTGGAGTCAGTGACACTCATAGGTGGGAGTCTGGCCTCGTCTCCTGATAACTGGTGACTTTAGGGAAATTAACTTCTCTGAGCTTCTACATCTATTTTATTACATGGTTGTAAGGATAAAATGAAATAATATATGTTAGCAGTTCGAAAGGATACCTAGTGTAGATTCTCAAATAGTAGCCATTATTGTTATTGCAGATGATAGAACTAATATATCAGTTAACAATCCATAATCAAAAGGATGCACCTGCTGGATATATCAGTTTGTCTAATAATATAAAACTAATAGGGTTGGATTCAAAGTCCTGTATAGGTTCAGAAAATCAACTGCATTCCCCAGTATAAATTATAGTGAGAAACAGCATTATATAATGAAATTAAAACTAGCCATTATAGGGCCAGGTGTGGTGACTCACACCTGTAATCCCAGCATTTTGGGAGTCCAGGGCAAGAGGATTGCTTCAGCCCAGGAATTTGAGACCAGCCTCGAAAACATAAGGAGACCCAGTCTATACCAAAAGAATAAATAATTAGCCAAGCATGGTAGTGTCCCAGCTATTTGGGGGAGGTAAGGCAAGAGGATCACTGGAGTCCAGGAGTTCAAGGCTGCAGTGAGCTCTGATTGTACAACTGCACTCCAGTCTGGGGGACAGAGTGAGACTGTCTACAGAAAACAAAAATACCCAACAAAAACTAGCCGTAATAACAGAATTGTAGCATCCAAGTCTGAGGAAAAGTAGTAGTCTGGGTGCTACATTTTAAACAGTAACAATAAGTCTCTAATGGCTAGAATCAGGGAAGGTTCTTCAATCATATCATATAAAGTAAGTGAAAAAACAAGAGATGTTTAATGTAGAAAAAAGAAGCCTCAAAGAAAATAGCTCTTATTCTGTTTGAAACAATATTCTTATGGGTGGCTCAGTGAGCAGAACTGGGCTCAGGGGAATGTTCCAGTTAAATGAGAGCTATTGCCATAAAGGCCTATTGGGACAACTGACAGAATTTGAAAATCGACTAATGAACATTTTAGTATATCAGTGTTAAATTTCCTTAATCTGATCTTTGTATGTAACAGAATGTCTTTGTTCTTAGGAATAAATGCTGATTTCTATCTAGGGGTAAAGAGACATGATGTCTACAACTTTCTCTCAGGTGCTTAAGGGAAAAAACTGATTCCTAGCTATATTTCTGACTATTACACATATCCATATATACATACAAATGTACATATGTATGAGGAGAGACAAAGAAAAAGCAAATGAGTTCTTTGTAATGTTCCTATAATTCTTCCGTAATTTTGAAGTTCTTTCCAAATAATAATTAGAGCTATGGGAAAACAGAATGGGTTATCTTTTGAGATCATGAAATTCATCATCACATGAATTATTCAACTATGTTGAATAATTGGAATGTTATTAACAAGTGTGATATTTTTTAAAAATACATAATTTCTGAAGTTAATCTTTCATTTTATCTTTTTGTTAATTTTTCTTAAGGATGGCAAAGCAGAAAAAGCTGACACCTCTACTTCTGGAAAAGCAAGTATGAAATCAATTCTTGAAAACCTGAGTGATCTTTGGGATCAAGAACAATATGATTCAGAATACAGCCTGGAAAATTTTATGCATTCTCTCAAGTAACTATCAAATGTTGTAAATGCAATTGCTGCTAGTTCAGTTACATTTCTGCTGATATTCAGCAAATTTCTAAGTTTATGGTGAACTTTTAACTCAATGTGTAAATAGATCTGAAGAATATTCAGCATAACGCTGGCTCTTGTTTCACTGGGGGGAACAAGTTATTCTCAAATATTTGCACTGTATTAAATTTAAATGTTAATGTGAAATGGTTTAAATTTTACATACTGAAAAGCTGCAGAGCAGAGGAACCAAACCAGGTTTACGTGTGCTACCAGGAGTTGTTCTTACTAGGAACAAGCCTCCTATCTTTACATAGTCACTTTGTACAGGATGATATCCATGAGTACTTTAGTGTTCATGTACATTTTTTCTTTTAAATAGAACTCGTTTTTATAATTGATGAAAAATAGGGCTTTTTTTGTATAAAAGCCTTAATGAGCCATAATTTTAAGAATATAAGAATAATGACTATGATATTGGTCAGTCTTGGAACATGAAAATGTTAGACAATGAATTTAGGTCTTTGGTGGAAACCTTTATATATTTAATGTAGCTGCATAGTGTTTTTCAAATCTTTAACATCATTTTTTCAACTTTTAAAATATAATATCAACTATTCTAAATACAGGTAATGGTATATTTAAGGCTACCATAACATCCTATTAAGAGGGTGGTTTTTTTTTAATTTATCTAATGGCTAGGATATAGCCAGATTCAAAGAACATATGTACTCAATAGGTTTCAATCATATATATAATATATTTTTTGTAACTATGAACATATACAGTTTTCCAGAAGTAGATTTTACACTGTTTAGAATTCCAAAACCTATGTGAAAAGACTGTTTATTGTAGTAATGCATGATTGAAACATAAAAGGGAGAAAGATTACCTTTTTATACACAGACATACACAGATACACATATCTATATGCACAAATGTACCTATCCTGCACCCAAAAATGTGCTTGGTATTGGCACTAAAATCATGTAGATATACTGGGCAGCAATAAGAATTGGGCATGAAACTGATTAGTGTTAGAAAAGTGAGCTCAATGGTGAGGGTGGGTATATGTAGGTAGATATGCATGTATGTGTATGTATATATAATTTTATAAATTTCACACATAAATTAATACATGCCTGTGTGCATACATATGTATGGATATATTTGTATATATGTGTACAGTAATAAACATCCCCAAGGTTTGTGGCTGGCCATACACATAGGCATCAGTTTAAAAACCATCAGACCTCAACTGTACAATAACATGTGTTTTGTTTAAAATCATTAAAATTATACTGTTCTGCAGCATTTAGACATGGACATTTGTCACATTTCAGTAGCTTTGACAACCATACTGTAACATTAAACCTAGCATTCCACAAGAGAATAAATATAAGATTGAAACTGTAAATATATGCAACTGTGTGTTATTTGTAGGAAATGATCACTAGAAAGAACAAGATTACAATTATTAGTTCCAATATACAGGTTTTTAAAAAGACGAAGACCAAATGGAAACTCATGACATTATATAGAATATCCAGTGTTCTTGAGTTGAATTTTTTATTAACTATTTACTATTTCCATAAACCAGCTCTTTAATATAGCTCAAAGTAATTGATATATTGCTACCTACATACTTAGAAAAAAAGAATTCATACCATAAAAATTAGTTTTTTCCTCCCCAGTTGAAAGGCTAGAGGTGGTTTAAATTTTACAAGAGTTTAATCTAAAAATATGTGTTAAAAATATTTCTAGAAGGATAGACAAGAAAATGGTAATTGTAGTTGTCTCTGAATGAGAGATACAAGCCAAGGCTGAGAGGGAAGAAATGTGTCTATAACATTTAAAAAGTAACCTTTTGAGTTGTAAAATATTAAGACACATGTTCCAGCTTTCAATACAAAGGAAAACATAAACAAGCAAGAACTAAGTCTTCTCAGTTAAGTGACCTAGTCATAGTAGTACATCTTAAGAATAATGGAGACATGAGGAAAACTGAACTGAGTAATGAATGCCATTAAAGAAATGTTGTCAACCGTATGGATGTCATGATTTGGTAGTTACACTTTTTAAAATGTGTGGGTGTGCGAAATAAAACAAGCATGATAGAACATTGATAACAATTTTAAGTTGGGTAATAGATTCACAAATATCCACTGTATTGTTTCCCTATTTTTTGTGTGTTTATAATAGGCAATTTCAAATAGTTAAAAATAATTATAGATTCAGAGATTATCAGTCTCAGCACTTATGTTTCCTGTAGAAATATCTTAAAATTTGGGCATCTGGGTATAATTTTTCTTTCTCATATATACACAGTTTTATACACACACACAGACACACACAAATTTATTCCACAAACATTTCTCCAAAAAATATTCTAGTCTTTGAACAAGAGTTTATCATAATGGTAACAAGGGCAAAAGTCTTTAATGTTTGGGACTGATCAATATCCTTATTCCTTGTGGATAGTTTATATGAACTTATTCAATAGTAAATATCCCAGTGAAGCTATTTGAGAATGTGATCACTTAGAGGCAAAAGTGGAAATACAAGAACATAATAGAAATTATAGAAAAGTAGTGAGCATTCCATCACATACCTGTTCTAAATATTTAATCTCAATATAATCTACTGCAGACTTCAGTTTCCCAGAATACATGCTGGTATCAGTGGTATCTAAAGTGAAATTGATAGCAGGGAAGATATGTTATGCCAGAGAACTCAATGTGAATCAATAAAACAAAAACTTGAGTTATATCAATTAATAGAAAATGTTTGCTATTCAACACAGCACAGTCAGCCATCTCTAATGAGATCAAAATTGCTTCCTGCATCAAGAAAGGATTCCTATGAGGCTCTGATAAATGTACTGAAACCAGTGAGGTTCTATTGAATATTATATATTATATAGGCTGAGATCCTAATATCCATGGACAGACAAGAGACTCAATCCCTTCCATAGATCTACAAAGAGATCATGTATTCAAATAGTACTAGAACAAGCATCCATGAGCCCAGAAACACAAAGTCACCTATGAGAAATCAGAACCCCAGGCTTGCACCACAGGTAAGTTTAAGGTCTGGGTTTATGCTAAGTGTTGTATACTGTAAGAACCACAAGTCAAGAAAATATAATAAATTCTGCACTCAGGAGAAGCAAATACAAAACTGCCCTATAAGGAAAGTTGCAGGTAAGGTCCTATAGGATTACCATAGGGGGAAAGATTAAGTTTACACACCATATATATTAACATCATCTATAAGAGAAAGTTGGCAGATACAAACAGAATTAGTTCTTTAAGAATTGCAAATAAAATAATTTGAAATGCCATAAAACAATATGATTAAAATAATTAGATATAAAAATAAGGAAATAATATGAAAGATTAGACAAATTTGAAGAACCAATAAATAAAATAGTTATCAATGCAGATTAGACACAGTTGAAGAGAAAACATGTGAACTGGAATGTTAATCTTACAAAATTACCTATAATGTGATACAGAGAGATGAATTAATAGTAAGAAAGAGTCTACACCCATACCACCCTGAACACACACGATCTCGTCTGATCTTGGAAACTAAGCAGCGTCAGGCCTGGTGTTAGTACTTCGATGGGAGAAAGTAAGAAAGAGAAGGCAAAAGTCGTGGAAGATAGAATTAGAGAATCTAATATAAACTTATTAGGAGGTCCAAAAGGAAAAGGAGATCATAGGAAAATAGACAAGAGTCACCCTTGAGTCAGGTCTGTTTTTTGCACACTCCTGCATCCGTCAAGTTCTGTCATCCCTAGCTACAAAATATATTCCAAATCTGTTCACCCTTCTCCATTTCCACTGCTTCCATTGTAGTTCCCACCACCATCTTGCCTCTCCTAGACTACTATCTCCTAGACTACTCTGTGGTCCCCAATCCCCAGGCCGTGAACTCGTACTGGTCCGTGACCTGGTAGGAACTGGGCCGCACAGCAGGAGAGGAGTAAGCGAGCAAAGCTTCATCTGTATGTACAGCTGCTCCCCATTGCTCACATCTGCCTAAGCACCTCCATCCATTGAAAAATTGTCTTCCATGAAACCAGTCCTGCTGCCAAAAAGTTTGGGGACCACTGTGATCTAACTGGTTTTCCTACTATCCAAATTTTAAGGTATGGTACTGATACCATAAGGTATGGTACTTATAAACTCCTGGGGTTTATTTATATAGTGGAACCCTATAGAGCAGTGAGAAGTCAATCAGTAACTAATAAAACATGGATAGATCTCAAAACCAAAAACAGCAGTGAGTATAAAAAGAAAGAAAAAAGTATGATTTGAGTCCATTTAGGTAAAGATCAGAACCAAAACATATGTACCAGACACAACAGGAAAAGCTCAAAGATCAGTGAGGAAGGAGGAAACCAAAGCCAACAGTTGGCATAGTTACATTAATTTCAGAAAAAATCGCCTTCAGGCAAAAAGTGTCACTTGTAATAAGGAGGGGTATCTCCTAATAAAAGACTCAGTGAACTAGGAGGGAATGGTAACTCTAAATTGATAATATACTTCAAAATACATAAAGCAAACATGGACAGAACAAAAAAAAGACAAGTTCAAGGTCATAGTGGGATTTAAACACACCTCTCAATAGAACAAGTGGATGAGAAGAAAAAATGCAATAGTACAATTATAATAATACAATTAACAAATGTGACTTAATTGGCATTTATGTTATATAAATAGATATACCAAACAACTCCAGAATACATTCTTTGGCAATTCATATGAAATATTTACCAAAACTGATGATATGCTGAGCCATAATGCAAATCCTGGCAAATTTCAAGAAATTCAAATTACATAGTGCCCACTTTTTCCACTCCTATTCAACAATATACTTGAGGTCCTAGCCAGTACATTAACATGATAAAAACCAAAGATAATACAGACTAGAAAGTAAGAAATAAAACTTTCTACTCACAACTTGATAGTATGTGTGGAAAATCCCAAAGAATCTACAATAGCTTCTAGAACTAAGTGATTTAGCAAATTTGTGGGATATAAAGTCAATACATTAAAAAAAATCAATTGTATTTCTATATACTAGAAGTTGGCAATTGAAATTTTAACATATATATAATAGCACCAAAATCCATGAACTATGTATAAGTTCATATTTACAAAATATGTAAAAGGTCTACATGGTAAAAACTATAAAACACTGATGAAAGAAATCAAAAAGACCTTGAAAAATGGGGAGATACACCATGTTTATGGATTGAAAATTCTGTATTAAGATTTCAGTTCTGATATGTATACTAAAAGTAATTCCAATCAAAATCCCAGAACTTTTTTTTTATAGAAATCTACCTAATTCTATAATTTATATGGAAAGCAAACTACTGCAGTATAGTTTGGTATAAATATAGACCAGTGGAAGAGAATTGATTGACTGCAAATATAACTACACTTATAGTCAATTGATTTTCTACAAAAGTGTTAAGACAATTCAATGAAGAAAGGATGATCTTTTAAAAAACTGGATGTCTAATATGCTAAAAACCATAAAAGCCAAAAAGAACATACATACCTCAAATTGTATTTAGCAAAATTTAACTCAAAATTGATTACAGATATTTTATAAAACTTTTAGAAGGAAACATCAAAAAAATGGGTGACTTTAGTTTGGGCAACGATTACCTAGATGTGACACAAAAAGCACAGTCCATAAAGAAATGATAGAACTTTTAAAAAAATTTAAGAACTTTCACTATTTGAAAGACTTAAAAAGATTGAAAAGAGGCTGGGTGTAGTGACTCATGCCTGTAATCCCAGCACTCTGGGGAAGCTGAGGTAGGAGAAATGACTGAGACCAGAAGTTCCGGACCAGCACTGGGCAACATAGTGAGACCCCATCTCTACTAAAAATAATCAAAAAGTCCCCAAACAATAAATGTTGGCATGGATGTGGAGAGATGGGAACACTCCTACACTGCTGGTGGGACTGCAAACTAGTTCAACCTCTGTGGAAAGCAATATGGAGATACCTTAAAGCGATACAAGTAGATCTACCATTTGATCCAGCAATTCCTCTACTGGGCATCTACCCAAAAGTCACTTTATGAAAAAGACACCTGCACTCAAATGTTTATAGCAGCACAATTCACAATTGTGGAAACAACCCAAGTGCCCATCAATTCATGAGTGGATTAATAAAATGTGGTATATGTATACCATGGAGTACTATTCAGCTTTGAGAAACAATGGTGATATAGCACCTCTTGTATTTTCCTGGATAGAGCTGGAACCCATTCTACTAAGTATCTCAAGAATGGAAAAACAAGCACCACATGTACTCACCAGCAAATTGGTATTAACGGATCAACACCTAAGTGGACATACAGGAATAACATTTATTGGGTGTCAGGCAGGTGGGAGGGGGGAGGAGGGGATGGGTATATACAAACATAATGAGTGAGATGTGCAACGTTTGGGGGATGGTCATACTTGAAGCTCTGACTCAAGGGGGGAGAGAGGGTATGGGCAATATATGTAACCGTAACATTTGTACCCCCATGCACACATCTCAGCGTGGATTTTAGTAAAAAAAAAAGAGAGAGAAGAAAAAAGAAATTTTATTAATATTAAGAAAAAAAAACATTTGTAGCCCCATAATATGCTGAAAAAAAAACTCAAGAAGGAAACAGCCCAGCCGGGCGTGGTGGGTGGCTCACACCTATAATCCTGGCAGTCTAGGATGCAGAGGCAGACAGATCGCTCAAGGTCAGGAGTTCAAAACCAGCCTGAGCAAGAGCGAGACCCCTGTCTCTAAAAAATAGAAAAAAAATTAATTGGCCAACTAAAATATATAGAAAAAATTAGCTAGGCATGGTGGCGCACGCCTGTAGTCCCAGCTACTCAGGAGGTTGAGGCAGGAGGATTTCTTGAGCCCAGGAGTTTGAGGTTGCTGTGAGCTAGGCTGACGCCACGGCACTTTAGCCCACGCCACAGAGTGAGACTCTGTCTCAAAAGGAAACGGCCAAATTTAAGAATGGGCAAAAGATTTAAACAAACACATCCCCAAAGAAGATACATGAAAGGAAAATAAGCACATGAAAAGATGCTTAACACCTCTTCTAATAGGTGTGTAGTGGTGTATCACTACCATTACGCACTTGGAAGAATAGCTCAAATTTTTTAAAACTGACAATAGCAACTGCTGATAAAGATGCACAACAACTGAACCCATATTGCTGTTTGGAATGCAAAATAGTGCAGCTACTTTAGAAAACATTTTGGCAGTGTCCTATAAAGTTAAACATACACATGACCACCCACCAATCCCATGCTTAGATATTTACCTAAGAGTAAAGAAAACGTATGTCCACACAAAAACTTGTACCACAAATGTTTATAGCAGCATTATTCATAATAGAAAAAGGGTAGAAACAATCTAAATGTCTGTCAACTGACAGATATATAAACAAAATGTAGTGTAACCATACAATGAATTATTATTTGGCCATAAAAAAGGGATGAAATACTGATACATGCTACAACATGGATGAACCATGAAACATGGTAAGTGAAAGAAGTCAGCCACAGAAGACAACACCCAAGATTCCATTCATATAAAATGTCCAAAACGGAAATCTAGAGGCAGAAAATTAGTGATTGCTTTGGGTTAGGAGTCCAGTATAC